CCTATCATTGTTTCTTCAACTGAAATGAAATCATTCTTTTTATTAAAACAATATCTTCTAATCTTCAAACTACGTATTTTTCAGTCTTTGAACTGATTGTTTATAAAGTAATCTTAGTTATTATTGTAAAGCTGATGAAAGTTGAAGTGATTCAATGAAGACCTAATGATTGAGATCTTGAACCGATTGATGTTAGACCACCATTGAAATCGCTGTTTTTTATTCTTTCACTAACAGTTTTGAAAACACATGTATACAGATGGCTAAGCTGCTGTGATCGAAAATTACATTATAACAGTAGCAAAGTAATATCACATGAAATGATCTGTGTGTAAACTTTAAAGCGAAACATAATCTCATGCATCACCCCAATTATCATCATTAAAATAAATGTTAATCAGTTTCAGTTTTACTATGTTTGAAGTGGTTACGTTATCACCTAAACTGGCGAATAGAACGAAGGTCTGTGACAAAACAACAGGACAAACTAAGGTATTCCAATTCACCTAATTCCTGCTAGCTAGAGGGAGAATATCAGATTCAGATGAGGAAAAGGTATATTGCACAAGCAACCAGAAGCTCGAACAAACTAAGCATACAACTTGAGTGCATATATAGTCTAAAACTGTCCTTAGGCAACGTCATAAAATAGCGTATTCAAAGAGGAAACGAACGAATGACATTTAGGGTCCTTCCGAGTGGGAAATTCAATCTGAAAGTAAAAACGGACGATTTTGGTTCAAAAATGAGAAGCTCAAATTTCTAAAATAAAATTACAAAAATAAGACGTTTACCAGTTGAGTTCTGGGGATCTAGCATCCCCAACATGTTTACTGAAAGATTAGTCTTCCTTTCAAAGTCATCAATATTTATCAACCTACTATCTTAAAATCATCCTTAAAAAACCTCATTCGTGAATACCGTGTGGCATATAATTACTTGGATGTTGAAGATTTTAACAGCTAGTGCACTGAATAGTGTTATCCAACAGTATTTCTAAAATAAATTGTATTAGTCATGCTATACTAACATAGACTGTCAGGGTGACTTTGACTGCAAATCATCTAAATTGTAGATCAAAGACTGTTCTTAACAAGGTCTCATTTAAGTCCTTACGTAATCAATAAACATATTGACGTAGTTCCAACTTACGAGAACAAGGTCAGTTTATCACATGATCATTTTGACAAAAAAATTATTCATGGAAGTTCAAAAGAAATACATAAAGACAAATAGAACATCTGAAAATCATTAGAACAGGTTATTTTGACAACTCCGAAAAGCACATTTGGATTATGTTCGTGTAGAATGGCAATGAACGATTTACAATTGAAACCATCCAGCTTAGAGAACAAAATATAATGAAAATTAATACAAACCATCTCAAGTTAATGAAACATTAATTTTTGAATTAATATTCTTTTGATGTTATGGTCGGAGCTAATTGACAGGAAACTCTGAATATATGTTTCATGGTATTTTGTCAGTCATTGAACCCATCGAAATAAACATCAGCCCTCTTAAGATTCCGAGTACCCATCGGTGACGAGTGCAAAATATCACAAAACTTAGGTCGAGCAGGGTTTCTTGTCGACTTTTTCCAATTGCCAATTATCAAAACATAGTATATGGAATCTTCAAACATTTAGATAGATGATCACATTACAAATAGAATTTGACTCGGCAACACAGCATGTTAATTACTTCTCACTTAATCCATCAATGTAAATATTCTTTTGTTTAAGTATAAGCATTGAAAAGTTAACAATAGTGAACTTTAGACTAAACAATACACAACTCATGTCACGAAAAAAAACAACAACAAAGTTAACAAACCTTTGTAAACATATTGTTGTTCAATGGATTATCGCTGACATTTTCTTTATTCACCACTTTGTTTACGTATTGTGCTCTTAGACTGTTTTTCATTTTTGAAGCAAATACAAAGGGCTGTGGAATATATGATGGTTATATATGCAGAAAAAGTGAGGTTGTAAATAAATATCTTTTATCAAAAAATAAGGGCGGTTATGAAAATTTATCCTCGGTTTTAGTAGAATAAAAAAAACCGTTTGATTATTGAACATATTTGTATTGTTCAGACTATGCATGTTTATGCGTATATGTGTTCACGTTTCTTGTTATATATTCTTATTTTAGTAGTATGATTTGATTTCTACTTTTATTATACCTTGTCATTTACATAGATAATACATGTGTAAATATATAACCTTGTTTGTTTTATTACAGTAATAGAGATATTTTAGATAAATTTCTTAGAATTTATACATTTTTATGTAACATTGAACTATACAGATATTGCCTGTTTATTGTTTATAATACAATATAGGTGTAATTTAAATACTTAATAATGAAGGAACTATATGTGTAATCTGTCAGTTAACCGGTATACATTAAGTATGTGTATACATATAAATATGAGATCAGTTACATGAATTTTGTTAAATAATCAATGTCTATTGTACTCCAATGTTCAGTTGATCGATTTTTAATAATAATAGTTTGAATTTTTGCCAATTTTTTGTTTGTTTGATTTCTCATAAATTTTAAATATTTTCAGAAGGGGTTTTGTGGATATTTTAGAAATTTCACTGATTGAAATCATGAGCCGATTGAAGTTAGAACACCCTGTAAAACCTCGAAGCAGTGGATGGCTGTTTCGTCCTATTTTGGGACTCCTCAGCAGTGCGCATCCACAATCCCGCACCTCGCGAGATTCAAACCCAAGACCTCTCACTCTCGCGCCAAGCGCCTAACCAACTAGACCACTGAGCCGTAACCCAATGGTGTTAGTGTCTAACTTCAACCAATCCACGAAGTAATACCACCGTACACCATTGTCTTCAGTGAGTTGATATCTCACAACAGACCTGGTTGAACTCCACTGGTAACGGCTTCTCATTAGAACTCCATGAGTATCTCTTGAAGTCAGTCACTAGTGAGCATATGATGAGGAGTCCCATACTAGGACGAAACGGCCATCCAGTGCTTTCAGGTTTTCCATGGTGGTCTAGCTTCAATTGACTCATGATTTCAATCAGTGAAATTTAAAATATTTGTTTATTTCGCTAAATATACAAGGAATTTCATAATAATCATGTTCTACTATATTCTTTTTTAATAATGTCATTCGAAATAATTGTACATAGGATATTCGAGTTTGCATTGATTGATCACTGAGATAGTGGTCAATACCATTTTTATCTAGTTCTTAGTGCTTATCAAGTTCTAACAACCAATCTGTTGTATGACTACGATAGTGCATTTACTATTTTTTGATGTTAAATGTTTGGTAGCAATCAGAATAAAACCTTAGATTTAGATCTACTGATAGATGGAATTATTAGTTAGCTCAATAGTTGTTAGTCTTACTATGGGACTAAGTAACACGAATCAAAAACTCATGAAAAGTATTATTTCTTTTAACATTCCATATATTTCTCGTTAGTTATTAACTTGAATGAACCATTTTCAGCTAATCAAACAACTTTATCGAAAACAAACTGATATTATAAATTGATTAAACTTGCCAAGGTGACTGCATTGAATGAAAATGGATCCCATTGAACAGTGATATCAGGAGAGAAATTGAGTTACTGAAGTATTTATTCCCCAATAAGTTACTGGATTGACTGATAGTACGCTTTAGGGTCTTCGATTACTTTTCAAAATTTGTTAAGATAATAAAAAAAATTAATATTCATGAATAATACAAGTACTTTGAACTTAATTGCAATTTATCCAATGATTCTAATGTGTTAAAATTTATCGTATAATAGCTGTAAAAGATATACTTAACAGTTCTACAAAAAATATCCTATTGATCGAATGCGTATGAAAACATTTGCCCTATGACTCCATTTTTGAATAACTAATTATATATTTATCATAAATATTATTGGCTGATCATTGATCATCTGTTGTTTCGTCGTGTTTGGTTAAGAAAATTGACCATTAAGTGCTCGCGCGCGAAACCAGTAATTCCTGGGTTCGAATTTCGCAGGGGGCAAGGTCGTGGATGCGCACTGCTGAGGGGTCCCACAACAGGACGAAACGGCCGTTCAGTGCTTCCAGGTTTTCCATGGTGTTCTAGCTTCAAACGACTCATGATCTTGACCATTGATATTATTTAATTATTTAAACACATAAATATCAGTACAAAGAGTCACCAAATATACGTGTGCCACACTTCATCATTCGATTTGTGTGTGAAGACAAATATACTGTCCGGGTGTCCAAACTGAAATAGGTGCTTTTCGTAGGAGACCAACCACTCCTCCGACCATTCATCTAGAGGTCTAATTCATAAGGCAGTGGAGCGACGTTAGGAGGTCCAGTCCCATGGTAGTTGGTGACCAACAATAGGTTCATATGTCATTTGTTCCCTCAGGATCCTGGAATTCATGTGCACTATTGATTTGGAATCAGGATTTTCCAACTCGTCTAAGTGGATCCTCTATATCCACTAACCTTGTTAAGGCATCGGACGCTTTTCGTTCTCTCAGCGAATAGGACTTTTTGGTAGTTGCTGTATAGAAGTAACCATATGAGAGCATTTCGAGCGAGAGAGCTGATTCCCCCTACCACCTACCGTACCGGGGCATTTTATTACTATCATTATTATTATTATTTTTTGATAATAAACTATTTTTATATAATTTAGCATAGTTCCTAGTGTGTTGTTGCATGCAGGAAATTCCACATTACTAGTATGTTTTATTGATTGAGTATGTATAGATTAGTTTAAAGCTGTAAAAAAATGATTTCCCTCTTTTCGGGATAGTTTTTTCTTTGAAGCTAGTTTTTAGCTTCCATTTCTTTTTGACTGAATTTTTGTGACTTGGCTTGTTGCCAAAATATAGTTTTAGTTGGGAAAAATCTATAAACGGAACAGTCATTCTGTTTACTTATTGTTACTTGTTGTAAGCAAAAATGGAGTAGAATACAATTTCCGTCTTGTATTTTTGCTTTGAATACAGCATTGCTATCCATCCTGATCGTATTACTGTGGCTACTGGTCAGTCTGCAGGACATGATAAACAGTTTGGAAAAGTGAGTACTGTTTTTTTCTTCTATCAGTTTGTAATTACATGATACTATTACGGAGGATGCGTAATGCCGATGAAATCAGATATGTAGAGTTTCATATAATAGTACAGCGTACTCACTAAATAATCACTGGATAAAATGTCTAGAATACCTTTTTCTCATTTTATGTAATGGTGAATAACATCGGAGGTACAACCTATGATCAGTGACATGAAATAAGTTCTTAAGGTCATTGATTGTTGTGTTGCACTGTGTATCGCGGAGCTCAAACGTTAGTTGTGAAACTACAAATGGGAAAAACTATTGAAAAAAGTCAATGATTTACCTACTTCATGTCTCAGCCCACGTGCTACAGTCGAATCGGACCTCAGAAACACAACAATGATTTCATATTTCTCAGTTTTATGAGTTCTTTGGCATTCTATTCTCTTTTTTTACATAATACTGAAGATACTGATTTTACTACGCTTATTCTGATTTCCATCTGAAAGAATTTCGACTGATATATATGTGTATACGAAGCACACTTCGTTTTTATCCTTAACCAATTGAATTATTTCTTTTTCTTTTAATACAAATAACTACATGACATATATACCTCGTAAAATACGGTAATCTGTGGAATCTGTTTAACTCCGATTCCCCAGTGAAAATTACGTCCTTATATGTATCACTGACCCACAAAGTGAACAGAGAAAATATTGGAAAATGTTGGGCTTCGCACTTTTATTGAATATCAAAAGAGATGGTTCCCACCACTGCTCCAATTCGTCCCTAATTGTGTAGTTTTTGTTACGTTTATGAAATTTTAAGCGACTTAGTAACTTCCTCCTACTTAGCTCTGAATAAGCTGCAAGTTTTCCGTCATCATATATTGAATTTAGTAGAAAATTTCTGTTGTTGTTATCTTACATATGATTGATTCGTCAGTAAATTATACTTTTACCTTTCCAATGAACGGAAATATACTTGAAAATGCTAGATATCACCACTTTATAAAATACTGAAACAGGATGGTTATCCTCACACCTGACTGATCTGTCATATCTGACTGTACAGTTAACTGTTCACCGAAATGGTGAAATATTCTGAGAACTGTAAATCCAAGATTGAATGGTGTTTGGCCGAAATTTTGAATTTTTTCAAAAGAAAAGAGTTTCTTAAACTATATTTTGGATATCGTCATCGTTACTGATATATTATTTATAGTTGCCTAGCAACATGTTGTATATCTTCTCTAACAGATTACCAATTACAAGATACGAGTATTTGACTATGAAAACCCAAACATCTATTCAGTGTATTAATCTCAGTTGAATAATTCGATTAGCAAATGACATAGCGTATTTGCAATCGCCTCTTTAGTCAAATAATTTTATATTGACATGGGCAGAAAATAATTAGCAAAACGTAGATAATGTACTAATCAGAAATCATATCACATTATGTTGTCGGTAATCATTTGATGTTTTTAATATGCTGAGAATATAAGATTTCAAAACATATATAAAGTTTTGAGGAGTATTCATGATTCATAGGGTTCAGATATGTCATAAATCGAGCAGTAGTCATCAATGGAACTTAATAAATAAACATCGCAACATATCCTGAAGTGATGGACGCTGACCTTGTGATTTTAATGGTTGCGTTCTTTGCAACATCTGAAGATCTTACGTTTGACTCCTATCGGCGATGTGGATAATGCCAAGAAGTTTTATTCTTAGATGACACATCTGTCCAGTGTTCTCTGGTTTTCATTGATACCCCAACTTAGAATAATCTATGACATAAAACTTACCAACTAAATTCTATCTCTTACATTCGATCATGACCGTCTCTATATTATGATGGTTTCTCTTTCGTTAAGTTTTAATGATCCAGTTACTTACTCCATAACTGATGATTTTCGTTTGATGTTATCTGAATAATTTATCCTCCTCCATAATTTTCGTCTTTCACGAATTTCTTTGCCTACTGTCGGTCCTTAAGTTTCATCTAATCGGTAATTGAGATGTTTTTTCATTACTTTGAATTGTTGGGACCAGTAACGAACTACTGAAACTAAGTCGGCTTTTTTCCCTAGTTGTGGATTTCACAATACTACACATCTCTTCATTAAGTTAGACCCAAAACATTCATGTTTTGCTGAGAACATTATGCCTTTAGACCATTGAGTTGGAATATTGTAGTCTCATTACACTCAGTCTGTGATATTACATAATCAGTCTATTAGTCAATCATAAGCAACGTAGAACCTGGTATAAATGCATATCAGACCAAGTTATCATATCATATCACTGTAAGATGGGATAAAAAATGAATATCAAGATGGCAGGAATAGTAAGAATAGTACCATTCGTAGCATAAGAATATTAGTAGGGATTCTATTTGGTTCGAGGAATAATGAAACCGTGGAACAAAATGCATGAAATAGTTTTTAGAAACACAATATCTGGGACCATGAAGTAAATGAATAAGCTCATCTTCACCACTCCGGCTGATTTTAAACCATGTCACTCAACATCTCTAACAATCAATAATTATTATCGTATCTGAATCAGATAGTCTTCATCTACCAAAACAACTCAAACCAATAGTTATAGATTTTTTAGTCTTATGCCTATATCGTAATCCACCTATTTTTAGTTTTCTTTGTGAGTTCGCTCTCCCTCTCAAAATGCTCTCATATGACTACGTCTATATAGCCACTACCACAGAAGTCCTATTCACTGCCTTCTCGCGACATTACTTTCGTTTACGAAATTGAGAGAACAAAAAGTGAATGTCCGATGCCTTAACAAGGTTAGTGGATATAGAGGATCCACTTAGACGAGTTGGAAAATCCTGATTTCAAATCAATAGTGCACATGAATTCCAGGATCCTGAGGGAACAAATGACATATGAACCTATTGTTGGTCACCAACTACCATGGAACTGAACCTCCTAACGTCGCTCCACTGCCTTATGAATTAGACCTCTAGATGAATGGTTGGAGGAGTGGTTGGTCTCCTACGAAAACCACCTATTTCAGTTTGGACACCCGGACAGTATATTTGTCTTCACACACAAATCGAATGATGAAGTGTGGCACACGTATATTTGGTGACTCTTTGTACTGATGTTTATGTGTTTAAATAAATATTAACATATTGTTATTGTTCAATTATTTTCAATGATAATCAACTGTAGTGCAATGCTGTATGCGGTTTATTTTTAATGATTGATACTTTTGAATGATATCACTCATGAAACGGATAAAAATGTGTGAGAAAACAATGTAACTATTTTCTTATCGTGTGGGTCGTGAAATTAATACAACATAGTGTTCTCTCTCTTATATCTCTTAATTGATTATTGACAAGGAATTTATATATTAAAATAGAAGTGAATTAGAAGGTAATATATTTTAAAATGTTCGGTCATTCATACAATAGTAATGAATTCATCAATCTACTGTTTATTGACACAGTAGAAGATATACGAGAAGTCATCAGTGTAGTTGAAATGAAATAGATCTACTAAGGAAAATGTTTTACATCACGGATAGAGTTTAGTCTATATAACCGCCCCCCAAATGCCCTGGTACGGACGAGAGGGGAGAGCCCGCTCTCCCTCTCCAAATGCTCTCACATGGCCACACGTATATAGCCTCTACCAGGGAAGTCCTACTCACTGCCTTCTCGTGGCGGGAGTGTTGTTTACGAAATTTAGAGGACGGGAAGCGAATGTCTGGCGTTTTAACCGGGTTAGTGGACATGGACAGTTCACATAGGGGAGTTGGAAAACCCTTATTCCAAACCAATGGTGCTCATGGACTCTAGGATCCTAAAGAAACAAATGGCGTATGAACCAATAGTTTGTCACCGGCTACCATGAGACTGCATCTCCTTACGTTGCTCCACTGCCTTGTGGATCAGACCATTAGGTCGAAGACTCAGGGTGTGGCCCCCTAAGAAAACCACCTGTTTCGGTTTGGGCACCAGGGCAGTATCACAGCCCTCATACATATCAAATGAGATTCGTGTGGCGCACATGTATTTGGTGCCTCCTTGTACCAATATTTATGTGTTAAAATAAATAATATTAGTCTATATAACCACTAAGATACAATTGTGACTACTTGTCTGTTGTTTCATAACACTGTGTAGGACGTTTTAGTGGTTTAAATATCAGAGAAATTATTCCCTAAGATTGAACTCAACATTCTTAAATCTTTTGTTGAACGAATTGCTTTTAGACTATCGTGTTAGGATTCTATGATTCAGTTCGATTTTTGATGCGGTTATGTATAATGACTATTTCGGTGTCTCATACTAGCAAAACCAAGTATCCTATGCTTTCTTGATCTTCAATATTTATCTAGCTAACAGGAATGCATGACATTAACAATTAATGATGCATTGAAAAATCTTTACAGAACACGTTCATAAGATTACAAATAATCATACACTTACACATGAAATAAATTTAATTGAAATCCAATTATGTTTGTTGGTAATATGAACTTAAGTCTTACGTTAAAATTGAAATTCTTTAATACGTTCAACATTATCGATCCTATATATGATAAGTAGAGCACAGATGCCTCATAAATGACTGATAAAAACACCTATCAACGTACAAAGCAAACAGATTGGAATACATAACCAAATTAAAACTAGAACTGATTAGAATTAAACTACATCTAACTAAAATGAATGAACTATATTTTTATTACTTTATCTGAAGAAGATTAAACTATGGGTAACTTTTGGGAATTATTTTTAGATTTTTATCATATGTATATAGTTATTGACAGAGGTGTTGTGGATATGAAGGATTCACCTAGGGAAGTTGGAAAACCAGTGGTGTACATGGGCTCCAGGATCCTGAGGGTACAAATGGCGTGTGAACCAATTATTGGTCATCGGATACTATATATATATATTCGTATTTCTTTTATCATAAGCTTCCATTTGACCTACAGGTCATTGTTATACGATTTATCATTCTTAATTTATTCGCCATTGAGTGGTCCCACAATAGGACGAAACGGCCGTCCAGTGCTTCCAGGTTTTCAGTGGTTGTCTAACATCAATCGGTTCATGATCTCAATCAAAAACTTAACAATCTCCACACCCCCTAAACTAAAAATTGATTATTTATTGAATAGAATATATTTTCAATAAAGTTGTTGTTAAGTGTACTTCTTTAATATAAATTTCAATGATCCTCATACATTATAATATGATATTGATTATTTATTTTACATTTGATTATATTGAGATTGGAACTAAATGATACACAAATATTTTCTAAGAGAATGCAAGTATAGTTTAAAAAAAACGGATCCTAAATTCAATCTTTAATCATGGAACTTCCTACTTAAAATGTTAACAAATATACAATTACCATCCAATGTGGTTTAGATTGTCAGACAAAAGTTAATCGAAGATGTACAAGATAAATATGATTGCTAGTTCACAAGTACTTATTATATTTACTTATTATATTTAATATCTATTACAATGTATTCGTTATGTTATGGTCTTAAATAAGTAACTGTAAAACAGTTTGTATACACATTAGAAGAAACAAAATTTAGGTTAAAACTATAGTGAAATGATATCAAACAAGTTTACCAAACAAAATTCCCTGTTTGTCACTGAATTAACTTAATTGTCCAACTGTGTCAAAACATGTCCAACGGTGTTAAATGTAAATAAATTGAAGAGAAAAAAAATCACGCGCGAGTCCGAACGTCCTGGGTTCGAATCTCGCTATTAAGAATCGTGGATGCGCACTGCTACGGAGTCCCATACTAAAACCAAATATCCATTCAGTGCTTCCAGGTTTTCAATGGTGGTCTAGCTTACATCGACACATGAATTCAACTATTACAATCATTACAATCTCCACAAACCTCCATTCTAAAAAATCACTATTTCAACTGTTCCCATCAGTAAGCTATACTTACAAAACCATATTGATATGGAATGGTAATGTAGTATCATCATCGTCAACATGATTAACTATATCTTTTACAATCCTTTATTTTTCTTTTAACAAAATAAAAAAATTGTTTTCTGGTTTTTACCTTAAATCATTTACAAACAAAAAAATCTAGCCACATGTACGAATTTGGAGTTCAGTCGATTTGAAAACACTGAAAATTATTGGTTTAGGCGAATTTGAACGTTCAGTTTGTTGTTTGTCTTTTTCAAAAACGGTTAGTTTGTTTATTACTTTCTTTTGTGTTTTTTTCCCTTTTGTTATTCTTGTTGTTATTACGACTCTACAAATGATCTATCGTTGTTATTCTAATTTCAATGGTTGAGATGATGGGTCATTTGAAGCTAGACCACCATGGAAAACGTGGAAGCACTGGACAGCCGTTTCGTCCTGTTTTGGGACCCCTCAGCAGTGCGCATCCACGATTCAGTCAGAAGAGAGCTGTTTTGGTCTAGTCTACATCTTCGATGTGATATATGACTTAGTATGATCTTGAGACTTGCAACATGTGAGTTCGATTTGTGACTGTAGGGCCTTGAGGATAGAAAGAAAAGAACCATCCTACCACTGACCTATGATTTGATAGGTTGACAAATACAGGGAGAGTGAAAGAGCAGGAAGTGTTAGAATATCTATTCCTGGTTCAAACTAACTCAAAAGGTGCATGAATAAGTGGTTGACTAACAAAACCAAAACACGCAAGAAATGAGAAAAGTACAATCATATGCAAAATAAGATATAGGGGAATCAAGTGAAACAACTCACTAAAAATAGCTCCAATTATTTGTCATTGCCTCCTTATTTCTCTCTTCACACTTCGGCATCATCAAAGTTAAGTATATTTGCCTAGTCAGTTTGGTTTTAGGTTTGGTTGAATCATAATCATCATGAATGAAATTATTGACCATTATTTCTTCGTGTTTTTCAAGTATTAGCAATTGGCCAACATAGAATGGGATAATAGATTAAGAATTCAGACATTTGCTTTTGAGCAGTTCACCATATGTTCGAACACCTCTGTATTTAAACTGTTTTAGGCTGACCTATAACATCACTAGACGACCTTAGACATGGAATGTGTATCAATGTCGAGTTTGATTGATTAGTTGTATTATTTGGTAGAGAGAGGCTGTCACTTAATCTCAAGTTTAAGACTCTACTATTTTGATTTATCTAACCCGACGGTGTTAAATGAAGTTTAATTTAGTCTAGACCACATGAACACATACTTAGTTACTAAGTTTCATCTTAGGGTAATAAATTACCAAATTGAAGAGTTTTAGTGACCCCATATCTGACTCCAGTTAAATCGTCTGCTTATTGTTATCGAAATATACATACCGTCGATCCTCGTATATTTTTATCGACTTAATTCGCATTGGAGAATAACGGAATCAAATAAGCCAAATACGAGAATGGATTTTAAATACGTATACTACGCACACATTGATCCGGACATACAATCACGGAAGCGAAGCTAAACGAAACGAAGCGACGTGCAGAGGAGAAGGCAAGTGAGCCAACTTGATTTGATCAAGCGTGACTCAATATTTATTTTCAGATAAAAACAAATTACATACAAAATGACTAGGGTAAGCAATTAACACACAAATGATCATTTTAAAAAACAGTCAGGGTTAGTAAGTAAATGATTAACGAAGTCAAAGGTGGCTTGAGAAGAATGAATATATTGATCTGTCCATAAGCTAGAATAATAGCCTATGTTGGCTTGACATAGTACCAGCCACTACAGTTTTCATCGACTTATTCAAGTAGAATTTTCATAATTCATGTGATAAATGTAGTTAGTGATATGCTTTGTAATGATCAATGAATTTCATTTTTGTTCGGTTTATGATTAATACGATTGAGTTCTTTTTAAAGTATTATCATCTCCTAGGAAAAACTAAATAATTCTTAAGCAAAGATGGGTAGTGGCTAGTAGTGGAATCCAGGACGCGTGTTTCATCCTATCGGATTCGAGTCCCAGAGTGAAAATCAACTCTGGGATGCAAGTACATCCAGATAACGAGTCCCAAATGGGACTAATCGCTCGTCCTAGATTACTCTGCTAGCCACCATCAATCTTTGTTTATAATGTTTGCGACTTAAGGCAATATCGAGGCAATCCGTAAAGGATGCACATATGTTTATAAGAGACTGATCAATTACAGTCCTAAATATCAATGGGAAGATTCAAATAAACAATGCAAAATGAATTCAAATAATTCTTGTTTATCCTTGATGCTACATCATTGTTTTAATTAAATGTTGTTGAATATGCTGCATCCTTTATTAACTTGGTGGCGCAACTTTTCTTGGATACTTATTATAATGGTAGTGGTAATCTGTGTTTCATCTTCTCTACGTTTAATTAAAATGTATGTATATGTGAATATGAAAACTTTGAATTGAGACCAGTGATTCCATCACTTCTTGGTTCTTGATGATTTTCCAGCTGATTTCAAGTCGGTGATAAAAAGTCTACTCAAATTTGACGAAATTTCGATGGTTATCTATCTACGAGAGAATATATAATATATAATATATATATATATATATATATATATATATATATATATATATATATATATATATATATATATATATATATATATATATATATATATATATATATTCTACATTTGTTCTGTTCGAACTATTAATACTATCATTATCTGTCTGTTGAAACTTCTGTTGCTCGATGGATGGAAGGATTTGAATGTTTAACTTATGCACTGAATCCTATAAAATACAATCTTGAACAATCGAAAAAGAAAAAAACCTCGCTCGACTAATGATCATTTATTACTTTTCATAACTTGGAACAACACTTGACTGAACAAATTGCTCTTGTTGGAAATTATAAATCATTTTGTTACTGTATGGAACAGATATGATCTGAGCTTATTCTCATTGTTTTCAATGTTCATTAGATAATGTTATGTGTAGCAATTATTAGCTTTTTTTCGACCATTCATTTAATAGATGAATACTGTTTATGAGAGAGGTAATTTTCACTAAAGATTTCATTTCGAACTGTCGTGAACATTTCAGTGTAACAAAGTTTCAATACACCTGTATGAAAAATGTTAATACAGTCAAATATGAAATCTTTAATGAAAATAACATTCATATGGATAGATTGGGACAATCATAAATCGGCTAAAAGATAAGTAAATGAAATATCTTTCATTTTCAACGAATGAGACATACATCATTATTGGCTGAATTTTCTTAGAGACAGACATATGTTTATATTAATGAATACACATATAAATGAATTGATTTAGTTAATAAACTTCCTTTCTCTATCTTAGTCTTTTCATTCGAGTAACTGGTTAGTCTCATATATAGGCAAATTACGTATCAATATCAACGTTCGGACACCACATTTCACAACGCGATAGCCAGAATTGCTAGAAATCACATTCCTTGAGTTTGTTGCAAATAACTTCAGTCATGGATACAATCCATTACTTTGTTTTCCAATAGTAACATGTTGAGTGACTAAAAATTGATGTATTAATTCAGTTTCATTTTGTGTATTATCGTTGTTGGCTTGTATCTATTTATCGTTTTGTTTATCAAATCATTTACTTTTATAGGATAGCGGAGTTAAATTATGTGCAGTTGACGAAGCTACAGATCATGTGATTTCAATATGGGATTGGCAGAAAAGTCGCAAAATAACGGAGACTAAAGTAAGATACTAATTAATTACATATTTTCCAAGCTATATATGTGTATAAATCTACTTCAGATGCTCTTCATTACTTGTGATGACGGAGGTTATCTGGAACGTTTTCAGTGTTCAATGTGTATGTCGTATTCTCCAGTACTAGCCATTCATCTGTCCACTTAGTGTATGGGTTTCACATATTAGAGTATATTTTGCACTAGATATTTCATTTCAAGAAAATAGGGCTATTCACAACTTTCTCAAATGAATGCATCAGTGTAGCGCTGTCCATATAAAAAATAAAAGTCATCGATGTAATGAAAATTACGGTTTGAAATGAAACCTCTAACGAAAAAAAATTCTGATGTCTAGCATTCACTCACTGAATGAACGGAAAAAAAGAAAAACTTCAGTATACAGCACACTTAGTAAACAGTGAACATATCGCGGATATCCTGATCCCTTATGCTATATCCTGATGGGAATCATGATTTGTAACTGTTGGAATCTGTTTCTGGACTAATACAATACATATATTTTTATAACATAATTATTAGGTAACTAAACTATTCATATTCGTGTTTTTCTTATTATGAGCTTTATTTTGACCTATGAACTATTATTATGCGACTTACCATTCTTGAATTATGCCCAGTCTATCAATTACTATCTCCCACATTCACAGCCACTCTTGGCTAGGTCTTGTACGAATGTTATTTCCTATCTTATGCTGAGATATGATCTGTTTGGTTTGTATATAAACCCAATATGTTTGAAATACATGATTCACATCGCAGAGGCTGAGATTAGTGTTCTTGACTTAAGAGGCAGGGCTAGGCAGGATGTAGGACCGATAAAGACTCTTGACTGCTCGTACGGTTTTATGCGTCATTTGTGCGGTCGATAAATCACTGTTCTCTAATTGGCGGTATGAATACATTACACATTAATAGGGCCAAAACCACAAGTTATAACACCTTATCCCTACGAAATGTCTGAGTGTTAAATTTCTCTCTTTTTGAGGGAAATCAAGAATTTATTTGACTCATATAGATAAAGATCTGCTACTTACTCCACACTTCCATTATGATGAGCAGTCAAATCTCGTTTAAGAAAACAAAGTTAATTTATTTTGTATTTGTGAATAAGATTCATCATCCACCAGTCTACTTGAGGTCTTAAAACTTAGAAGATTATTTGGAAATCCTACTTTTAAACTTAATATATTGATGCAACATTTCTTATTCACTAAAACTAAGTTTTTAGTTATACTTACTATCAGTATGTAGTATGTTTGATTTCTTGTTGCAAGTTATTACAATTCTTTAAATTACATCTATATACGTACTTGATTTTTAACTTTATATCATGAATTTGGGTTTATTTTACTTTGTTATGACCTCCCAAATTCTAATCTCCTGAATCCTCCTTCTCTCCTTTTTGTCGTTTTCCAAATTTATTTCACTGGATTAAAATCCTTGAATAACATCTTCAACCTCTAATCTTTCCGATTACTGTTTATACTTTTACTACCTCTACCACTACGGGATTTAAATCGACAACTGCATCTCTGTGCTGATGTGGTGTGGCAACTCTAACTGATGTACGTGCGTACGAAGTTCTACGTTGTAACTGATTGACCTACAAGTGTACACAATTGCATGTTTACAATCATCGTCGTTTACATATGTTCATAGGAATTTGGTTGTTTATGTATATAACTACCAGTGCAGTCCTACTCACTACCTTTTCGCTTTGAGGGTGTTGTTTAACGAAATTGAGAAGACGTGAAGGTAATGTCCGGCGCCTTAATGGTGTTGATGGGTACGGAGGATCTACCTAGTGAAATAGGAAAACCCTAATTTCAAACCAATGTTGCACATGAGTTTCAGAATTATGAGGGAACGAATGAAGTATGAATCTATTGTTGGTCACCGGCTTCTATGGGACTGGATCTTCTAATGTTGCTCCACTGCCTTATGTACCAGACCTCTAGATGAAAGGTCTGGAGATTGGTCACTTAAGGAAACCACCTGCTTCAGTCTGGGTACCCGGGCAGTACTCCTACCCTCACACACAATTCGAGTGATGAAGTGTGGTGCATATATATTTGGTGCCTCGTGTACCGATGTTTACATGTTTAAATAGTAATAACTATAACTGTTTTATAATAATAATAATATGAATATGGATGTGAATATGAATACAATTTAGTTAAAATCCAATTCGATCAAAAGAAAATTAATGTCATAATTAAACTTTAAGACTCGCCTAGTGCAAAATTTACTTTGAACTTATAATCTAAATTAATATTTTACATGAAGGATTGTTTATTTATTTAAAAGATATTGATAGTTATAACAAACATTGGGCGTGAATCACATATCCGCCAGTTATAAGATAAGACAATGTTGTACTCTTCTATGTATTGATTACAAATATATATGGCAGTACAATCCTCTAATTCATTAATTTCAAGGTGATATGTTTGCTGGGTAACTTGATTGTTCTTCTGTCGATCTTTTAGGGTGTCATAGGTATGCATTGTTAAGTCCTTTGTTACGATAAAACAACTATCTAGTGTTTTACCTGTTTTTCGATACTTCCTTCAGTTAATATCAATTTGTAACTCATCAAGTACATATTGGTGTGCTCGGCTTTAAGCTCGACTTTATATCTGTGGGTTAATCATACTACCCGGTTAATGTGATCGAAGTAAGTCAACTGGTACTCGGGACCTATTGGTTACGAGTTGAATCCCTGTACTATTAAGGCATTGCTCCATATCAATCCCTCCATCTGTCTGTTTTCTCTCTCTCTCTCTCTCTCTCTCTATATATATATATATATATATATATATATATATATATATATATATATATATATAATGAATATAGTATCTCACTTCTTCTCACAACCCCCTCTCTTCATCTTACTGGCTACACGTTTAGCAACATCTAATCATTTTACTATACCACTAGAAATTATTTTTGTTTTTAATATCCAATGAGATTAGTATTGATTAGTTTTTATTTTCTAAAATACTAGTACGTGTTATATTTATACAACAGTAGGCAAAATATAATACCTTTCAATTCCTGGCTTTTTCACTGTGAAATAAACATTTTCGTATGAACAATTTCTGTATAAAATGTTGTTACTTCATAAGACTCTGTTAGGAATTATTACCAAGTGATGAATAATTGAAACTGCTGTTAAATTTCATGGTACTCTTTGTTGAGGACGTTAGATCACCAGAACTCATTTGCGAAAGGATCTAATTTTGTAATGTATTTAAAACATTTGAATTTCTTTATTTTCGCATCAAAAGCGCTCTTGTCACCTTCATGTCGTATTTCCCACTGGGAAATATCTTAAATGTTATTGGTCCGTTGCGTCTTTTAGTATGCTATTTGGTAACTTTCTCCAAGGACGGTTTCGCACTGTATATATACGTTTTGAATTGTGTTTGTTGTTATCGCTCGTTTCTGGTAGATTGCAGAATATACTTCCCCATTCCAAATTTGGACTTCTCCCTCTAGTTAGCGGGGTTGGGACGCATCGAATAGCTAGCTTACTGGTCTTTGATTACCGAGTCTTGTTTCTCGTTCGCAGATTAAGTGAACTCTTGATAGCTTCAACCCTAGCAGTCTCCAAGATAACTGACACTAGGTAGATCGATAACTAGTAAAAAGTACTGGTTGTATTGAAAAGCAGTTCATTCTAGTTTAAGATAATTTATGAATTATCGACCCACAATAAAGTAATACTCGGGCTGAGTATAAAACGGAGTCTGTATTTTCGTTTTTAATTCCAATTTATCAGTACAAAATCTCGTAAGTTATAAAAAGTTTCCTTTTCTTTCCACATTCATTTATGACATGTGATGCTGCGACGTTTCACTCGTCAAGGCATATTTTCATTTCAGTAACAAGATGACTAACGTACATATAGAAATATCAGTAGTAGTATTTGTGATTGTCAGAAATACTAACTATTGTAACTGAATCAAAATGTGTATAGAAGAATACTAGAACGTATTATCAAATCAGATTTAAGCTTTTTCGTATCGGTTTTCGATTTTATTAAAGATTGTAGCTAAATAGCGTATGTGTATCCTAATCTTCTCGAATTCATGATTATTTTGTTTATTACTTTTTTTGAATTAGAAATTCTTATAACTTTAATCGTTTAGTAATAATAATAGTGTACCCCACTTCTATTTTTATTTTGTATTGATATATCACACATTGTAGTGTTTATCCATTACCTTAATCTCAAATAACATAGAGGTGATCATATCTGAAGTGCAACAGTGAACCTTTATGGTTGGTTAAAGAAAAACGTCATAATTCGTAGTAACTTATATCTGTTCCTTATTACTGTTTTTTTGTGACTAGCTGCAATCAGTTGCTAAATAAATGATATATATGTACATATATAACTATCATAGTACTATTAGTGTAATATCCGTAATATCATTGAAGTCGTGAATTTGCCTAAGATAGACCACTATTGAAAACCTGGAACCTAACATGGGGCTCCTCAGTAATGGGCATTCGCGACCCCTCACAGAAATCGAATCTAGGACCTCTGGTCGCGAGCGCTAACGCTTAATATCTAGACCACTGAAGCGGCATCCGATGGTATTAATATCTAACTTAAATCTATGGCTAGTGGAGCTAGATCTTGTTGAGTGCGAGGCAGTTACTCACTGAAGACAGTAGAAAATAGTTACGAAATTTCGTCGATTAGTTGGAGTTAGACATTAACACCATTGGGTCCCGGTTCAGTGGTTTAGAGGTCAAGCGTTCGTGTGCGTGATATCGAAATTCCTAGGTTCGAGTCTTGTTTGCGGGATAATGGGTGTGCGCTGCTGAGGAGTCCCATAATTGAACAAAACAGCCTTCCAATACTTCCAGGTTTTCGATGTCGGTCTAACATTAACCGGTTGATGATTTCATTTCGATTGTCTGTTTCAATATATTTATTAATTATCCTAAACATAAAAGTTGATTTAAATTAATTTTATCACTTAGTTCCATACAGCATGAACACATGACAATTAAATTCGTCATAGATTGGTCTCAGTTGAACTACTAATAAAAATCAAGAAGTTTCAGACAGTCGTTTCACTTTTGTACAAAACACCTCAGCAGTGAGCACTAATGACTTCAACTATAGTGGAACATTAGATATTTTAGTCCTGTGGCGAATAATTAAATAATAGAGCTACTGTATTAGAGTTGAGCAATGCACATATTGACTAGCAAAACTAAGCTTCATCTTATCTTTCAAGTACATCATATTGTACTTCATCACTGATCTCCGTGATATTAAAACTAAAAGAAACTTTGCATTGATCGTTCACGCGTGAGACCGATGGCCATGTGTTCGAATCCCGCTAACAGGATCGTAGATGCACACTGCTGAGGAATCTCACAACAGGATAAAACGACCGTTCAATACTTCCAGGTTTTCTATGGTGGTCTAACATCAATCTGTTCATGATCCCAGTCAAAAACTTAATAATCTCTACAACCCTATACTGTAATAATTACATTGAACAATCTAAACGATATTCCATACTTTGATTCTTTCTAAATATTCATCATAAAAATAATGTTAAACTTCATCTACATGTATCATCTCATTAATATGCATAAGTAGTGACCTACATATATCATAATAATTATTGAAAATATCATTATAATTCAAACTTATTATTTATCAAAGTGTATTTCTTCTTCAATGTCACAAGATTTAGCTTTGTTTACTTACAAAAGGCCAAGTGTATGATAAAGTAATAGTAACTTAGTTAAAAATCAACAACATTTTTTTGCATCTGAATTCTTCTAGGTTATTCTTGTGCTCTTCTTTTCTAATTAATGTACATTTTAATGAATGGATATGAAATATTTTAGTAATGAATAAAAGTTTAAAATAACCGAGACAAATTTTCACTTCTTTTTTTTTTCGCCAATTAAAAAGTAACTTTTGGTAAATGAAAAGTGAAACTATTGACATTACAAAGTGTAAATAGATCTAATATAATGAATGGATGTATTTCATTTATTTATTTATTTAAACTCATAAACGTTGCTTCAAAGAGGCACCAAATAGATATACGCCACATAAATCATTCGATTTGTGTGAGGGCTGTGATACTGCCCGGGTACCCAGACCGAAGCAGGTGGTTTTCTTAGGAGGCCACACCCTGAGCCTTGGATCTAAAGGTCTGACCGACAAGGCAGTGGAGCATCGTGAGGAGATGCAGTCCCATGGTAGCCGTTGATCAACGATTGGTTCATACGCCATTTGTTCCCGCAGGATACTGGAGCCCATGTGCACCATTGGTTTGGAATCCAGTTAAAGCGCCGGACATTCGCTTTTCGTCCTCCCATTTTCGTAAACAACAGTAATGCCACGAGAAGGCAGTGAGTAGGACTTCCCTGGCAGAGGCTGTATACGCGTGACCGTGTGAGAGCGTTTCGAAAGGAAGGACGGACCCGCCCCACTCCCGGCCATACCAGGGCGTTTGGGGGCCTGATTTATTTACCTATGAATCGAATAACCTACGACTTATGAATTGGCCTATAAAAGTATAGATTATCTTTTTCTTCAAGTCTTTATGATGAAGCGATTCAGCACATATTGGTCTTGGTTAGAGTTAAGTATTTAGGGAGTGGTGGTTAGGATTAAGATTTTCTTCACAAACTGACGTCAACTATAGTGAGAAAAATGCTTTTTAACAAATAGATGAATGAATTTTGTCCGAAAATGTTAGAGGTAGAATCTAATTAGTTTTTCTTGAAAATTAATGCCAATGGGTTGAAGTTCATTTCAGGAATTGAGGATGTTTAGGGTTAAATATTTAGGATTCGCTTGTCATATATAATTTACAGTGAATGAATGGAACAATTGATACCTTTGATAGTAATATTTTTACTGTATGGTGGCAAAAAATAATTTATTCTCATTTTAAACGTCTTAACCAGTGTATCCAGTAACTATGGTTATGCTTTCGTTTATTTAGTTACTGAATTTTAGATAATTCGGAATAAGTTCTCTTGAAAGTATGACTTTTGTTATGTTGTAATTTTTCGTCCATCAAGTGAGCTACACTTGACACGTCTGTAGCATAATGGATTAGTATTTTCGTCATAGAAAACTTTGCATTTTTCATGTAAGCCACCAAAATATTAGAGAATCAAATACACTCTCCATCATGAATGACTTTAGTGTAAATAATAATTCCCGTCTCATTTTGGTTGATTGCTCAGTAAATGGTTGAAGTTTCGAACAAGAGTGGAGTTTTCTTCTCATCCTTTTAGTTCCTCTCTTAAATTTAAATGTTGTACTTGTGATTGTGAATGGCCTGTCCCCATGTGGTGTGTGCTACTTATATTGACATAACTAGTATATGATGTTAGTCGTGAACAGAAGGTCTGGCGGAAGAGAGACAAAAGGATCGAACAGTAAAGAACGGAAACAAAATGCAATTTGTATGAAAATGCAAGAACAATGAAATCTGAGTCATTTTGGGGCAATTGGTGGACATTTTGCAAATTAAGCATTTACTTTATGATTGTAAGATTTATTTAACAAGTCCTGTAATTTTGTGTTAAATACATTCGATTGTCCTCACCCATGTTCTGTTCACTACACCTATACATACTTTTACTATTATTCTCGTTGTTGTTAATGATCATTTCCGACTCTTTTTCGGTTTTTCATAGTTAGATATTAGTACAGACTGCGAAAATAATTTTTTCTTTCCGAAATCAATTATGTAAATCTATTGTCTTTTTTTAGAAGTGAACTCTTGACATTGACTTTTAACCACTTTCTAGTAGATGACTGACTTTTTAGTTTCCTAGAAATCTCCTACAATTGGATCATAAATAACAGAGAAAAATTCAAAAAGAAGTTTTACATCTGGATTTAGTCTACATGTAAAGGGCAAAATATAATACAGTGTGCTAGGGTTGAAGATATCACGAGTTCACTTAATCTGCGAATGAGAAACAAGACTCGGTGACCAAAGATCAGTAAGCTAGCTATTGATGTATCTCAACCCCTGCAAATTGCCAGAAACGAGCAATAACAACAAACACAATTCAAAACGTTTATATACAGTGCAAAACCGTCCTTGGTGAGAGTTACCAAATAGCATACTGAAAGACGCAACGGACCAATAGCATTTAAGATATTTCCCAGTGGGAAATACGACATGAAGGTGACAAGAGCGCTTTTGGTGCGAAAATAAAGAAATTCAAATGTTTTAAATACATTACAAAATTAGATCCTTTCGCAAGTGAGTTCTGGGGATCTAACGTCCCGAACACAGTGGCAGGTCATAAGAATTCACCTTAACCAAGAATAATTTGATATTGACATATTTCAACGTATTATGATTTAATTGTACTAAAAATACTTTGTTTTTTAGTATTATTTAAATTTGTGTTGATTTTATTCCGGTTATTTATTTACTCTGAAGAAGTGGCTTACATTAAGCCACGAAAAATCGTCAGAAATACAATTTTTCTACTTATTGAGATATTACTTATTTACTTACGCTTGTTACTCTTAATGAGGCATAGGCCACCGACCAGCATTCTCCAACACACTCTGTCCTGTACCTTCTTTTCTAGTTCCATCTAATTCTTGTTCATTTTTCTCATGTCTATCTCTATTTGCCTGCGTAATGTGTTCTTTGGTCTTCCTCTCTTTTTTGGCCTTGAGGATTCCATGTGAGGGCTTGTCTTGTGACACAGTTGGATTCTTTCCTCAATGTATGTCCTATCCACTTCCAGCGCTTATTGAGACATAACAAAACGTATTTATTATCAAGTATGTTTTGCTTTTAATTGAAATAAATTGCATTATTTTGACTTTTTAATAAAATTTATTGTTTAAACGAAGTTTTGTTTTCTCTTTTCTTTTTTTCTTACTTCTCAGTGTTCCACAGAACCAATAACAGCTGTTGAATTTCATCCATTAGATGATGCAACCCTTGTAACTGGTGGTAAAGGTCATTTAGCATTTTGGACATTTGATGGATGTACACTAAGTAAAAAGATGGGAATATTTGAAGTAAGTAAAGAAGGCAACAATAAGAAAGTTATGCTTGTTTATTTTAATCAATAGTTATTTACATCAAGTTTTTTAATTCTCTTAAAAAGAGCAAAATTAAAGGATTATTATTATTATTGATGGCTATATTCAATATCATATTTTTGGTACAATATAGAATTCTTAGAATGAAGTGTTTCAGCAGTTTTCCTCTTCTTACTATTTAGATCGATCTTGACGATATATATTGAGTGATTGCCAGTTAGATGTTAGGCAGTTCCACGAATTAACATCTGAATAATGTGCATTCTATTCAATACATATTTTACTAGCCGCCATAATATCTCTGATTGTACTTCTTTTGTAACTTGTACGGTGAAAGATCGTAAACATTTCATAGATGCTCCTAAATAAGTTCTGTGATTAATAGACATAATGATGATTTATTGAAACAAACAAAAAGACAAATAACTTGTTGAAATATCTAGATGGTAAGCACAAGTCGTTCAGATATTCAAACAGGCTACCTTAAAGATATAATTGAGGTAGTATGATATGATTCTACTTTATTGGGTTAGATTCTCTTCAACTGATACTTATCAACTTATGATATATATTTTGAAAGTTAAACTTCACATTGTGTAATTAGTTTGATGTGGATTTATATCGCAGTATGATGAAGTGTTCAGTTCGAATTAATGCCAAGAAGTAATGTAAACAATGTAGTCAATTAATATAATATGTAATACAAGATTCGAGATCATCACAAACAAATAACACGAGATCATACAGCTAATGTAATGTAGTAAGCAAACATAAATTAATAGTTATTAAGAATAATATGAGTTCGGATCAGTCGGTTGAAAATAAATTGTTGATTTTTTTCAGGAAGAGATGATGTAATTAAAAGATGAGAAAGCGTTGCAAGAATATTGTGTGATCAACTGATGATGACGTCAAAATATTAAGGAAAGCTTCCCACTATTTCCCTTTTTGGATATATAAATCTGGCTTTAGATATTCGACGGCTGTGAATTAAGCGAATTTGTAGTGACTAGACTTTTATTATCAATTGACGATCTTGAAAGATTTCAGTTTAATGTCAACTTGCTGTTGAGATGTTGGAGAAAACTTGTAGGTCAGGTGGATAATTATGTGGAGTTTTGTTCTCTGAACTAGATGGTTTGGTCAGTGAGTTCTCATTGTTCTTGTGAATAATCAAGGACGAATATGGGACCAATAACCAGATCAATCGGACATTCAATCAAAATAAAGAAGTAAACAATAACAAGTTAAAGGTCTACACTAACCGATCAAGATCCAGGTCGATAGGACAAGCCGTTCGTCATATATGGAGAACACTTCACTTGACGTTTGTGCTGATAATGTTGTTCAGGAGAACAATGAAACCTTTACGACAAAACCATCCAGCTCGGAGAAAAAACCTCCATTTAAACAAACTTGTCCTTGGTCCTATTGTCATAAAATATTCAGAACACAAAAATATGTGAGAAAACAATTGTTTTAAGTAAATTCTATCATCAGGCTTCACAGTTTTAGGTCCATATTTGTTGTGTTATTTGACAATGGTCAAAATAAATCACTTTAGTCATGAATAATAATGTTGCTGTGTGTAAGAAATAGTGAACTGTTGCATGCATAAGTGTATAAAACTTCAAAACTGTACCGTTTGTAAGTTAGAAAGGTCAGTTACAAATAGTATAATGGATTCGTTGTAAGTTATCACGCAATCAATGTAATAATAATAATAACTGGTATGGATATAGAAAATTGGGTGAAGCGATAATTTAAATAGTCTGTTTAATACATACACTGTCTGAGATCTATATTTTACTGAATTCAAAGTACATTAAAGCATCCCCTCAAGAATATAATAGATCTAATGCATTAAAACTTCCATTTATGTTTTCATCCATGATAGTCTTCTAATGTCAAGATTTTCAGTTGCCTCTCCATATCACATTTTATTTTGTCACACATCATCTCATTTTTGTTTCTGTATGATAATTTCATATTTGGATAACAAAAAATATTATTTATAGAGCTACATTTGGTGATTAGAACTTGTGATCAAACTAGCGCCAAGAAATTCAATGGTTATCATTGATTAATATGTAGACCAACTGCCATTGTACAACAGCCATAACCAAATAACTGTAGGTGCTAATTTAGTGTAATTATTGACAGGCTTTTTTGCGGTTGACTTTAAAATATCGAGTTGCGTTTCCCCGAATTCGATCAAGATCACTAGATAATATATATTTCGAAATTAAATATGCAAACCACTACTATACTTTCGAATCTTTTGGATAACAAGATAATCATCACCTCTAATTAATACATTGAGTTTGAGATTAACAATCAAATGTGTTCAGTGGTTGGAGGTATTCGACAGGATTACCAATAAAAAGTAAGGAGTTTCAGACAGTCGTTTCTTTTTTGTACGAAACTACTCAGCGGTGGAAAACTAGATTTCATCTTATCTTCCAAGTACATCAAATTGTACTTCATCACTGATCTCCATGATAATAAAACTAAAAAGGCTTCACATTGAACAGTCTAAACGATATTCCGTTTTTAATGTTAATATATTTACTTACTTTGATTCTTTCTTAATATTCATCATTAATATAATGTTAGACCTCATCTACATATATGCATAATAATTTACAAATTCATCAATCTTAACTCATCAACAAAGCGTACCTATGATTTGTATGGAACTGGAGTTCGAACACACATCATGCACCATCTTAGTACTACGAACTACCACTAATTTATTCCCACCTCAACTGGCTTTCTATAGTGGAAGACTATGGTATTCACTATTGCATTCCCCTCCAGACTCAATACCTTAAATTTCATTCAACGTTAATCATCGTTTTCTTATTCTACCCATTCAACTTTCCATTTGCTATACATTAACTTCCATTACATATTGTATCCCAATATTTTCTGTCCTATTCATTAACTTTGAAAATCTTAGAATGAGTTAGTGTTTTTACTAGTCTATATATATGTATGTGTATATAAATTATTTATATGATTATAGATTATTCAATGTTAAGGGTTTCTGATTGTTGGTGTTCACCTTACTTATAGTATTTTTTTTCATGGGTACGTATATTTGTTGAATATTTATATATATACAAGTTATTTGTTTACATCTTGTGTCCAGAAGTCAATCTTTTTTGTTTGTTTGTTTACTTCCGTGTTGTGTAACATTTAAAAACGTAGACGGTAGCAGTTTAAATCTACATGAATGAATTTCGTCTATGCTATTTTGTGTGTATATGAGTTTATATAGGTAAACAATGTGTCGCAAATTTAATAAACTGATAAAAGAAAAGTAGTTTTTCTCATTGATTGTCTAATAGATCATGAAATATAATCAATCTTGTTTTTTTCAATTCGCTTGACTGTTTTCACCATTATTTTTTTCTTAATTCTATTTCTTTATGTATCTTGCACTATACTACTTACTAATATTCAGTAGTCAAAACAGTCGTCAATTATTTTTGTATGTATGGCTTACAATAATACTTCATTGTTGTATCGTAGTTTTAAACATGAACGTGGATCTATGATATTTAGTGTATTTATCCCTGTTACTGTATTTCTTGACACTAATAATAATAATTATTTTCACTTCCGTGTTTAATATAAAAAATTTTATTTGTAGTAGTTTACATATTTTGTGTTCATAGTTCTCATTTTTCACTTGTCGACACAGATATTGGTTATTATTTATTGTACTGAAGCACTCCCTCCATTATACCAATACACTTAAGATAATTCATGAATTAAAGTTAGTAAAACTCACTATATTTGTTGTTATCTACAACAGTATTGTTTTGTTGACATACCTTTTGTTTTTAGATTAAAATCATGAAGTGATTTAGATTAGACATCCATTGCTCGTCGAGAAGTACTGAACAACTATTCCTTCCTAGTATAATACTTCTTAACAGTGTACATCTACGCCTCTACCATATGATTAAATGAATCTCGTCCATAGATTATACTCTCTCCTATAGTTTTTGTCACTAATTGTACATCGAGGATTCACTGTGTACAGTCGTGGCTTCACTTCTTTTTTTTTTAAAAAAAAGAGACAACCTTCAGTGCTCATTGTTTTTCAGTAGTTACTCAGTTAATTTTAATTTTAATGTAGAAATCAATGTTCTTACCTGTTCATATTATTTTAGAATGGTAAACAGCCAATCGATAAACCGAAATTTATACTTTGTTTAACATTTGCTGAAAATGGTGATCTGCTGACTGGTGATTCTGCTGGGAATATTATTGCATGGAAACGAGGTAATTAAAATAAAGTTCGTCATTCATTGTTAAATTCTTTGGTATGGCCATTTAACGTTTTTTTGTATTTCTAAAATGTACCTAGAATGCTTCGTTTTGAAAGCAGCTCTGTTAAAACATGGTAATATTCTAGGGTTTTGGACGATGGGGTACGAGTTACTATACTATCAATTTATTTTTGTGCTCTTCTGTTATCTATCAAATGTCTTTTCCCTTTCTGTTGTTTGACCAATCAGTTGGTAAATAGAATGACATTAATTCCCATTCAAACATAAATGAGCTAATCGATTATCGAACTAGAAAGAGATATGTATCATACAACTGTTTTCCTGTCATTACATTACAGCCTAGTTACTCAGGACCCAATCAAAATCAATCAAGGAGTCAGTTTTTTCCCCCCAACATAATAAATATCTATTTGTTAAAAACCAAATACCATTTAAATATCGATTAGTAAATGATTCTCACATGCTAACTAAACATATTAACTATTGGTCACTGACAGTAGCCTTCCCTATTATATTTACATCTTTTAAACTGATCACATGAGGAATATTTTGTGAAGGTGTGAGTTTCGCAAAAATATCTTAATTTTCGTACAGATTATAACACTTTCAGTAGAGAAAGTATGTTTGTACTATCTTTCTTCATCAAGTCATGAATGATCTTAAGAAAATGAAGCTACATTTTAGCTAATCAGAATACAAGTGATATGCATTAATGATTAAAGTTTGTAATTTTGAGTTCGGATCAAGATCGAAAATTCTCAATATGGATATGTCAAGCATCTTTCAATCACCTTTGAAGTCATGTTATGATGTTATATACATTTTAATTCTATTTGTTTTCGATGAAACCATAATTTATGGACGACCTTTGAGTGACACTAAAGTGATCTTGAGAATATCCACCTACTAACTAGGACTAATTGAGGGTTATAAAGTAGTGTGAGGAATTAGAATTATGATATGCCATTGATGGTTAGGCTTAGGAATTAGATTTAGGGTTTTCATCACGAACCAACTTCAGCTAAAATACCAATACGCTATTTAGACAAATGAATGAATTTCACGCCAAAATCCGAAGCGTGTTATCTTAAATCTGCATTATTCAGCTTTATTTTCCGTTGATTTAGTGATTGGATGTGGCATATAAGGAAAAGTATAATTTTCACTGAGGATTTCATTGCAAGCTCTATCCTAGGCTTTATTGGCTTTTTTTCCATCCGACAATTTGATAAACACCAAAACAATGCATTCACAGAAGACACATGTTGATTACTGAAATGAAGTTTCGAATGAAATGATCTAAAATTTTCCGTTTCATTTAAGTGAGCGAATACTGCATGTAAGAGTATAATTTTTACTTGGTATTTTGTCTCGTTTCGTGACGTCCTCTCTATTACGTTATCGCGTTCGACAAGCTGGAATGCCGTACGGTGGAGTGTTCACAGAAGTTGTATGTGAATCAGTTTGTACTATTAAAACCAATTCCCCAATGAAAATTACGTCCTTATACGTATCACTGACCCACAAAGTGAACAGAGAAAATACTGGAAAATGTTGAACTTCGCACTTTTATTGAATATCAAAAGAGATGGTTCCCATCACTGCTCCAATTCGTCCCTAATTGTGTAGTTTTTGTCACGTTTATGAAGTTTTAAGCGACATAGTAACTTCCTCCTACTTAGCTCTTAATAAGTTGCAAGTTTTTTGTCATCATATATTGAATTTAGTAGAAAATTTCAATAGTTGTTTTCTTACATATGAGTGATTCGTCAGTAAATTATACTTCTGTCTTTCTAATCTTTGTTGAATATTTTCGAATTATCGTCATTATAATCATTATTATGATTTAGGTACAAATACAGTGAATCAAATATGTCAAGGTGTACATGAAGGCGGTATATTTTCATTATGTTTAACAAATAATGGACATCTTATATCTGGTGGTGGGAAAGATCGTCGTTTAGTATTCTTTGATGCTGCTCTTAATCCAACTGGTCATACGGAAGAATTAACTGAATTATATGGTGCTGTAAGAACTATTACACAAGGTCCTGGAGAATTATTAATTGTTGGCACAACAAAGAATATGATACTACAGGTATTATATACTGTAGTATTATTGTTGCATTGAATATTGTTCGTTTTACCGTTTTTGGTACCGTATAACAAGCACTTTTCTATCATTTTTGAACGCAATCTCACTTTAATCGGTCGTTGGATGAATGTTTGGGGATCAGAATGTATGGACGACCTTGGAGTACATTTTAGCTGATGAGAAATCAGTGTTTTGTTGTGAAAAGGTTTATGATGAGAAACGAATGCAGTTTCAATACATTACCAAAAATTGATGTTTGGTTTATTAGGGTTTTCATCAGGAAATGACATCAACTATAATACAGTAATGAATTTATCCCTGAAACCTTCTTAGTTCATCCATAAACTTCAATTTTCTAAAAGGTAAAAGTTGACGACACGCCGTACAAAAATACCTATGTCACATATTGTGAAAACTGAATAGATCCACCAGTCGGTAAGGTGTACAAACGAAGCATATCACTGGAGTAAGTAAATTGATCACTAAGCCTAGGTTGAAATGTGTGCACGATTATTCGATTTTGTCAGCTCGAAAATTCCTATTCAATTCAGTCTTCTCATTAGAATAATGGAGTCTGGTCAACCGTAGTTGAATCTTTACTGGATCAGCATGCAAAATTATTTAAATCAGATAGTTGTCTCTAGTGATGTAAATTTCCTCTTTTCTTTTAAATAAAGGCTGGTCCTGGTATGGAAATAAGTCCTTTAATGTTTGGTCATTCTGAAGAATTTTGGAGTCTTGCTAAACATCCACAAGCTCATCAATTTTTAACTGGTGGACGTGATCATTTAGTAATTCTATGGGATTCATTATCAAAACAAGCTATTTGGTCAAAAGAATTCACTGATGCTATACATTGTGCTGCATTCTATCCACTTCAATCAGTTTTAATAACAAATGGGACTATGAGTCCAGTTAATAATAATGATAATAATATAATTGATGAAACAAATAATTTAGATTTCAATGTGTCAATGATGAATTCACATGATTTATTAGTAGTATTAGGCACAAGTACGGGACGTTGGTTAGTATTCAATTGTTTAAAACAAGAAATAATTGCTGCACATTCCGATGGACTTGGTGAACAGATCGAATGTGTTGCATATTCACCTGGTACGTTGTTATTACTGTTTTCTTTCTTTTGTTCTCATATGTATTTATCTATGCATACTTCTTTGTTAAACTTGCTATTCAATTGTTAACTCTGTTTCTGTAAACATTACATAGTAGTGACAGATGTCACGTTTATACAGTTCTTTAATCAATGGTGATCGAATTCCATCAATCAGTTTGCTGCGTGGTTGCCCGTCTAAATGACTTGACATCACATGCACTATCTACTATGTCGGCGAGAAACTTGACAGACTGTCTTCTTCAATCTCATATTTTCTTTCGTTGAAATCATGAATCGATTTAAATTAGACCATCATTGGTAGCCTGGAAGCAATGGAAGGCCGTTTCGTCCTAGTATGGGACTCCTTGGCAGTGTGCATCCAACATCCTGCGTGTGGAACTCGAATCCAGGACTTTTGGTCTCGTTCGAGAATGCTTAACCTCTAGACAACTGAGCCGGCATACAGTGGTTTTAATATCGAACATTAGTCAACCAAATGATATTGCGCGATCATTTTCCATTGTCTTCTGTGGGTAACTGCTTCATCCCTGTCAATTTCCATTCTTGCTAGATACTAAGACCTTTACCGATGTTTAAAATGACTTTGATACGATGAAGTTATTCTTATAAAATAATCAGGTTGCGAGATGGGGTCAGATGAATAATTTATTTCATAAAAATCCACCAAAAATTATTAGGGTTGGTATAAGAAGTTAGATTTAAGAAGTCAGAGATTGTTTCAATAATCATATTCATGAATAGTTATCCAGATATCTCCCAGTTGTCAGTTCTTAGAACAAACATAGAATTACATTGAATAATTTGAAAATATTCAACTGTTGTATACATTTGAATTCGACTTTTTTTCCATTAATTTTATCCGTTACATACTTGTTACTTCCTAATCTTTATCTCTAGAATTGGTCAATTTCATCCTTTACCTTAACCTGAATTTTCGACGTTTTTCCTCTTACTATATACTGATAGTTTTTACTTACCTCTTGATAAGATAGTAACTATCCATTATTGCGTGACAATACTATAAATCAGAAGTAAATGATCGGTATCTATCACTGACAAACTTTGATAAGAATGAATTAATATATGTTAACTTCGACTACACTATTCGGCAAATGAATATAGTAAGCCCTGATTATTCTCTAAATTAACTGCATACAACAATTGACAATATAAAGAGAATAAAGATGTCTCTTCTATTGATTATGATAGTATATTGTGAAATGGATTGATTTGTATAAACAAAAGTTGAGTTATACTTGAAAAGTGGGCATCTGTGGTGTGATTTGTAGAGGAGACTAGAGTATCAAGTTTAGAATGCATATTGATGTCTTTACTTGGTATCTATTGCTGGAGATTATGGTTGTAGTGCTGTATTTTTATTGTCCTTTTATCGAGTCCATCACAGAACATATCTGTATTATAATAAGCTAACATCATTTTTAACAGAAATTACTGTAGCTCAAACCGAATCAAATCACAAAATAGCACCTACTAGTTCATAAACTCATTGACTATTGAATTGAGCATTTGTGAGGTGAGTTCATACTAGATGATTAGAGCCCGCGCATGACATATCTTGACTGATAAACGAGTGCACAAGTTTATTCTATCAGTCGTTTATGTTATTTCTGTCTAAAGTGTATATTCTATCAAAATTTGGTTAAAATATACTATGAGTGGTGTCATTAGATTTAGTTATGCATACATCTCTACGTTTAAAGTTGATATCTTATATGAAATTGGTATTTACTCGATCTGATGTTTTAGATCATTATTTTGAATACATAAGATATTGCGTTCTAACTAAATAGATTCTAGGTATGCTCACTCATGAACAAGTTAATTTTGTATCATATTTTAACTGCTGAAAATTGTCATCAGTTTCAGTATTTTCTGGTGTAATTGTTTATACAAAGTCTTTCAATAAAAGACCTAACATCAGTGGTTTTACTCTGAACTACGCTATACTTATCTAGTCTATTCTATCAATTGAGTTGTAATGTAAACACTTACCTAATTGACTTGCATACATTGTGTGCACTGTATTGCAATGTTTTCAACATTTCGTGGTAGCTGACAGAAAAGCCTCCTTGGTTTAGATTCTATATAGTTGTCACTCATCTGAAAGTCATATAGGTAATTTTGCTCCATGCTGAATTTCATCCTGTGTTATTCAACTTGATCGATAGGACTCGATCAGCATTAAAGAACTAGGGAAATGTAATATTAGTTGCTACTCAGTGACTAGTCACTTTTAAACTTAGTGAATGAATTGTATGAAGTAAAGAAAAAACAAACTAAAAAGTAAATACTAATAACCATTTACTTTTGTCTATACAAATCTATAATTTGATAGTATTAGTAATAGTAGTATATTCATACACTAATTTTATATATAGTTTCATTGGTTTTAAGACTGTAAAATAAGAAACTGTCAGTTGGCAAAGGTATCTAAAGTATATATGCTCACTTGCTAAATACTTTGTTTTCCTAAATAACCCCCCCACTTAATTTTATTTTATCCATTAGAAAATAACATCATTGTAAGAAGAAAGATGGTTAACATTGTTTTCACTATGATTTCATTGGTATATTAATAATGAATGATCTATTCATACATTTAGCTTGTTGACTTCTTTTTCAAAGTTCATTCTTTTGTGATTAGTTTGAGAGAAAATAAAAAATGAATTTTTCAGTAAGATGTGGTTTATGTGGATTACTGAATGCTATCGAGATCATGAATCAACTTGAGTAAAATAACCATTGTGAACCAAAATGTATTGAGGAGATATTTCGTTGTAGTTCGGGACTCTTCGGATGTGTACATCCTTCAAAGGCGGGGTCGTACTCAGGACCTTCGATTTCGCTAAAACATATCGTAATTCAATAGTTTACAAGTCTAACTACGATCAGTAAGCAAGATTGTGCAATCATCATGTTATAACTTGTGGTCTATGTGCCCTGTTTATGCATAACGTATGATACCGCCAATTAGAGAATAGTGACTTATCGATCGGACCAATGACGTATAAAACATGCACGAGCAGTCTAGAGTCTTTATCGGTCCTTCTTCCTTCCTAGTCCAGCCAGTTAAGTCCAGAACACTAATTACAGCTTCTGTGATATGAATACTTTATTTCATGCATACTGGGTTTATATACCAAACAGACAGACCACATCGTGCCATAAAATAGAAAACAACTTTTGTACAAAATCTAGCCAAGAGTGGCTGTGAATGTGGTAGATAGTAATTGATAGACTGGGCATAATTCAAGAATGTAAAGCGTTTAATAATAGTTCATAGGTCAAAATAAAGCTCATAATAAGAGGAGATGAATATGAATAGTTTAGTTATTTAACGTAAAAATATACGCATAGTATCGGTCCATAAATGAATCCCAAAGTTACCATTCATTATGCTTATCGGGACATAACACATCCTCTTAATCTTAAGAAGATTCATCAACTTCTGAAAAGCCCTTTACTGAAAAGTATTGTATGGTCACTGTTGAGTAACTTTGTGGTAAATTTCTGGAGCTTTAGTGAACATTCGTGATCAGCAAAGTTCAACTATATTAGATATTAGGCAGTTACCGACCAAAGATGATTGCAGAAAATTTCATATTGATTGAAGTTAGATATGTAAGCTATTGGATGCTGGCTGAGTGATCTAGAAGTTAAGTACTGCCACTTGGAACCTATGGTTCTCATTTTGACCTTCTGTTGTGAGGTCCTGAGTCCTCACTGATGAGCAGTACCGCACTAGGGTAAGACAACTGCCCAGTGCTTTGTGGTTTTCAAAGGTTAACTGATTTAAATTGAATCGTGATCTCAATAAAATAATCTTTGTTTCATTTTCGATGCTTAATTTTTTTTATCCATTTTTAATAGTTCATTTTACTCACAGAATTTCGTTTTCTTCAATTTCCATTGTATTTTCTGCTTCTTTGATAAGTTTTTTTCATCTCTATTTCTTTCTTTCTCTCTAGATGGAAATTACTTAGCTCTTGGTTCACGAGATAATGTTATTTATGTATATAATGTGTTAGAACGTGGCTACAAATATAATCGTGTTGGACGATGCTGCGGTCATAGTAGTTTTATCCTGCATATTGATTGGTCTGTAGATGGGCGATTTTTACGTTCTGTATCAGGAGATTATGAAATACTGTTCTGGACTGCATTTGATTGTAGACAAGTAAGTGTATCTGTTTAGTAGTATGTTACATTCCTTTTTAATTCAGTCAAACATATCATTCAATCTGTTTTTAGTTTTCACGTCATTGTATTCGATAATGGATGAATTTTCAGCCAGTACATTACAAACGGCTAATAAATTTTATAGAACTAATCTATTGAATTCTTCGGCTAAAATAAATATTTCTATTGATCTGAATTATCTGTCTTCTCTAACCCTCTGAAAGGTTAAAAAATCATCTCACTGAACTTGTTAGTTTCTGGTTTAGATGTTGACCTAGAGCGTTTATCGTACACTGATTACAGGGAAAACGTACGTCACTATCGATAACTTCCGAGTGTTGTTTCAAGGTATATTTGAACCTGAACGTTTTGTTACATTTATTGCAATGAAAATCCGCTCCTTGATTAAAACGTTTAAAGCAGTATAAAAAGTTGCTGCTGATTTTTTCATGTTCAAAATCTTAAAACGCATTTTTTTGGTAGTGATTTTCGCTCAATTTTGACCCTGCACCTGGCAACCAACCAAAATGAAGCGTCTATTTATTATTCGCATTATCGTAATCCATGATAGAGGGCGTTTCGTTTCTGGTCATTTTTGTTGGATTACATGAATAATGTGAAGTTTCCTACGACAAAAATATCACTCCATCATGCTATGAACGTGTCAAGTGTAGCTCACTCGATTATGATGAGAGAAAAATTACAACATAACAAAAGACTTACGTCTAATTGATTTCTTAATGTAAATTATTCCAAAATATCTACAATCGAGTGACTAAATAAACGAAAACATAGCCGTAATTACTATGATACATTCAGATGGCTTGACAACATTGAGTTTATCCCCGACCTAATTGTAACATTAAACTTCTTCCACTTGGTATTGTTTGGCTTGTATCTTCCCATTGAGGTTTAAGACTGCATTTGATCAGTCTGTTATTGGCATATGTGCATACTGTGCGTATGCCTCGATATTGCCTTAATTCACAAGCTATTTGTAAGCAATGATGAATAGTGGCTTCTTTTTTTTCTTTAAAGCGTTTATTTAATTAATGTAGATTGTTCCTACAATCTAAATTCCGATTGGCTTTATGTTATGAAAGGTCATTTTTTAGCGCCAGTGAAAGCCCTCATTCAAGCATACTTTTGACTGGTTGTATACAAATGACTTATTTGTGTGTTTTTTTTTTGTCACGACATAATGCATTCCTATGGGTTATGAGTAACAAGTGGTGACCTGTTCTATTTATTATTCTATTTTGAAATGAATTAAAGAATGTTCATTTGTTATTGCAAATTGTATAGTTAACTAGTGGTCAGTTGAAGTTGAGTTATGCTTTACTCGTTCTGTTTTGATTTTTACGATTTGATGGTATCATCAATGTTTACAGTTTTAGTGTTACTTAAAGCCAAGTAACATAGCATAAATTTCCAAACAAAATTATAATGACTCAAGACATATGATTTAACGCATACAAGTCTTATAAACAGAGATGTATTGTGGCTATCAGTGGAATCTAGGACACACCTTTCGTCCTATTTACGACTCTTCAGCTTGATGTGCCTGCATCCTAGAGTTTATTACGGAACTCGAACTCAGTGCCATTCGCTTCATCAACTCTGCTTATAATTCTTGTGACTTAAAGCATTATATCGAGGCATTCCTCACAGGATACACATATGTCAATAAGAGACTAACCAATTGCAGTTCTAAACATCAATAGGAATATTCAAGCAACCAATACAAAAACGAATCCAAGTTTGTTGTAATAATGCATTTATTTCTCAGTGTTTATTGTTTTAGTCAAACTTTGTTAATAAGCAAGTTAAGTAAGTTTGAAGTTGAAACGAAAGTCAGAAAAGTATCAGTTCATTTATAATTTATACCTTAGAAAGTTCTAGATTCTTCCCCTCTTACCCTACCCTTTAACTCTGATTAACTGAAAATGAGTCAACAACCTGTAGCCCCTAAAAAAAACACTTTAAGTTTGCAAGAAAAGAACAATTCACGTGGCGATTTTGTACGTTTTTTTGGCTGCTGACGCAAAAGTGCTCTTAACAAAGTATACTACACTAATGAACGAGTATAAGTAAAAGCTTTATATAATCACTCACCTCATATAAGATTAATGAGACTAATTTTATATAATCAAATTATTTTATAGAATGAATGATTAATTTGATTGTTTCAAGTCTAACTAACCATAAGTATGTAGTGTATGTGTTGTAACGGGTGACTGCAGATTATGGAGCAGCGTATTTATCGATCGATTCAGTGACACGTAAAACACGTAATGAACGACTTAGAGTCCCGATTGACCCTGCCTCGCTGTCTAGCCCAGCCAGTTGAGTCCAGAACGCAAGTCACAGCCTCTGAGATATGAATCACTGTATTTCAGACATGCTCTGTTTATATACTAATCAAGCAGACCACATCGTACGATAAAAGAGAAAACAACATTTTGTACAATATTTAACAAGTGAACAAATACCGACCAGGGGATGTTCATTTAACGTCCAAGGACAACATTAGACTTAACATGATAATTATTGTTCTATTTTTCTGCACATCCTAACAGTATTCTACTTTTGTTGACAGATATAAGAAGTCACTGATAAGTAGACTGAGTCATATTGGTAGATGTAGACTACCTGGTTGGGGACCGCGAGATGATAGCAACCGATGGCTAGAGACCCTGAATGACTTGGCTCAAAATCGTTTACAATGGCGCAGGTGCATACACTCTTTGTGTTCTCCCAAATTCTAATCTTCTGAATTCTTCATGTCCCTTTCTTATTCTCTTTCCAAATTTATTTCACTGGATTATACTCCTTGAATAACATCTTCAAACCCTAATTTTTCTGATTACAACTTGTAATTTTACTACATCTAGCACTACGGGATTTGAATCGATCACTGCAGCTCTGTGCTAATGTGGTGTGGCAACTCGAACTGATGTATGCACTTACGAAGTTCTACGTTGTTACTGACTGACTGATATAAGAAGTATTGTAATGAACGAACACTCAAGTGGAGACAAACAATTGTATTTCAACACAAAATTACAGAGGATCTTGGTGAAATATATGAACCATACATTGAATATTTCATTTGCTAATTTCCATTGTTTCTACTTCACATTCTTTATGATTTTTTCAAGTTCACAGTTCATTTTTATTTTCCCTTATATTCACTTCAACTCGATCTTCTTAGCTTTTTGTTTCCAGGTTTTCCACTTCCGATTAGTATTGCATGCTACTTGTGTCGACAGATAGAAATAGCATACACCATAGTATGTAACATCAATGAGAAGTGGATTGCCTTTCAGCAGAAAGGTGATAATCCACAATTGAAGAGAACAGAAAGGGAAAAAGAAATAAATCATAATAACAACAGAATTGAAAGAATCATAAAGCATGTAACGGACAGCTGAAGGAATATATGCAAATTATGTGTTTAATGTATGGTTATCATTGTTTTACGAAAATACTCTTTAATTTTGCATTAAATAAAAAATTGGTCTTGGACTACTTCGTTAACCTGTATACAGCCACTACCGGAGAAGTCCTACTGACTGCCTTCTCACAGCGTTTTTGTTGTTTACAAAATTCAGAGGACGAAAAGCGAATGCCTAGTGCATTAACCGGGTTGGTGGAAATGAAGGGTCCACCTAGAGGAGTTGAAAAACACTGATTCCAAACCAATGGTTAACATGAGCTACAGGATCCTGAGGGAACAAATGACGTATGAACCTATTGTTGGTCACCGGCTACCGTCAGAGTAGATCTTCTAACGTTCCACTGTCTTGTGGAATAGACCTCTAGGTGAAAGATCTGTGAAGTAGTCCCTCAAGAAAATCACCTTCTTCGGTTCGGGTGCCCGTAGAGTATTCCAGCCTTCACACAATCCGAATGATTTGTTTAGCGCATATATATTTGCTACCACCTTGACTAATGTCCATGGATTTTGATAAAACAAATAAATATTTACCAAGAAAACATATTTCGTCTTGATATAACTGCCCCGTAACTTTCTTCCCTCTCATGTACATATATATTTTTCTCTTAATATATCAAGATAATGTAACTGAATTGATTTCATAAACCAAGAGATCCGTTTTTTTAGTATCAGAAGTTGTTTTGTAGATATTATAGTAATTTTATTAGTTGATATCATGAGTTGATTGAAGCTAGACCACCATGGAAAACCTTGATGCACTGGACGGCCGTCTCGTCCTATTTCGGTACTCCTCAGCAGTACGCATTCACGATCTCAGTTTTGTTAATATTACACTTTCCAATTTGTCTAGTTTTTTATTAGGTCTTTTTTCATGTTATTTAATGATTAATAAGGTGTTGATGTCACAAATTCCTTCATTTAATGTAATAATTATGGATATATTTTCCTATCTATAATTTTCAAGGTTGTCTCACCTAGTACACTACGTGATTTAGAATGGGCTAGTCAAACATGTACACTTGGTTGGGAAGTAGCTGGAATTTGGCCATCTGATTCAGATGGTACTGATGTTAATGCATGTGATCATAGTCCAACTGCTGATATTTTAGCTACTGGAGATGATTATGGAAAAGTTAAACTATTCAAATATCCAGCTAATAAACCAAAGGTAAGATTTTTATTTTAAATACTAATCGTATATTTGTTATAACTTGTGGCCCTGTTAATGGATAACGTAATAATACCTCCAACCAGAGAGCAGCGAATTCTCGATTAAACCAGTGACGCGTAAAACACGTGTGTGCAACCTAGAGTTCTGATTGGCCCTGCCTACCGCCTAGCCCCAGCCAGTTAAGTCCAGAACGCCAATCTCGGCCTCTGCAATATGAATCATTGTATTTCAAACATACTGAGTTTATATATCAATCAAACAGATCACATCGTACCATCATAATAGGAAATAACATTTGTACAAGATTTGGCCAAAAGTGACTGTAAATGTGGGAGGCAGTGACTAATTGACAGGGCATAATTCAAGAATGGTAAAACGTATAATAATGGTTCATAGGTCGAAATCAAGCTCATAATAAGAGGAATATGAATAGTTTAGTTCTTTAACAACTATACAATAAAAATATACGTTTAGTATTAGTCTATAAATGGATCACAAAAGTCACTATTCATTATGGTTATCGGGACCTGCTATAACTGTGACGGCAGCAGATCAGAGGGTAGCGAATTATCGGTCGGAGCAAAGACGCGCAAACACGTAGAACGGCTTAGGGTTCTGATTGGTCCCGCTTCCATGTCTAGCCCAGCTAGCTGTGTCCAGAACACAAGTCACAGCCTCTGAGATATGAATCATTATATTTCAAACACACTCTGTTTATATACTAATCAAGCAGACCACATCGTACGATAAAATAGAAAATAACATTGTACAATATTGACCAGTAGGGAAATGACACGTGAAATAAGTACTGACCAATAAGTAAATAATACCAAGTCCAAGAATAGCATTAGACTCAATAGAATAATTTCTGAGATATTTTCCTGAATATCCCAACAGGACCTAACAATATTTGGTTCCTATTTTGTATAAAAAAATTCTGTTTTGAAAGAAAATACAAGTTGGAAATGATAGTTAAATGAATTAGAACTGGATAACATTCAATGAACTCCTGATATTGTCTTGTCTACTGAAAAATCTAAGATAATTGGGTTCCAGAAATATTTCAGAAATAAATGAGAATTGTGACTTGTAAACATTAGAAAAAAGTGTTCTTATCCAAAAAGATCTGATAATGAACACTTAAAGTTGATCATATGGGATATGGATTGTGTATCTTGATGTTGTGAAAGTATAACTTTTGAACAAAGCAATTATTAAGTTTACTCTAACTGTTGATGATAGTTGTTTAGTTAATATTAGTCTGTCAAAAAAGATATCATCTTTAATATTTATAACCTGAATTAAGTCAATTTAAACTGAACTATACATATTACATTACTGATATGTCTTGCTAATTGAACGCTATATTTGGTTCCTAATCTATTCTCGTAACCCACAAGCTAGAACTAAGCACTGACCTGACCTGTACATGAGAGAAAAGGCACAAAATATGCGAGAATCACTTTACTCCAAGAGTTTGTTTTAGTTCAGAAAATGTAGGGTTTTTATAGTATTTTAGATGTTCTTAGGTTTCCCGAAAATTCTGGAATGCTACTCAACATAGTAGCAGTGTCGTAATAAGCCAATCAGAGACTCTACATGTAACTTTTCACTTCCTTGATGTTTCTCTTCAAACTTCTAGAGAACGCTGATTGGATAAAATGCTTCTTATTGTGTCCTCAGCCTTTCTTGTCTTTTGCGAGAAGTTTTCTGAATCACACCAACAATTACCATTAACTTACATATTATTGAGAGGAAATGTTATAAGAATAAGGGACAAGATTCACAGTTCACAGTTCCACATTTAATACGATTCTAGATAAATCATTTAGTTTAAATACTAGTTCACTAGATTGGATACTGAATCAATGGATCATTTTACTTGATCTTATATACGTGCATGATACACTTGAGTTAGCTATCCGATAAAAAATCAAGAACTAGACAGAATCCAAAAGGACAATTTATTAATACATTATAAAACGGCCAATAAATGGAATGAAAGTGAAAAAAAATATGGAACCAGTCCTACAGACAAATGATAGTCTTTTGTATTTCATGTAAATAGATATGTCCATCTTTGCTCACTGGTTAATCATGACTTACTTTTTAGCTAATACATCAGAAAACTACCATAATGTGTTCAATAGTCTTGTTTTGATTCTGATTCAAAGTTTTGTCGTCGTTTCAATCTTCTGCCAGTTGAAATGGTACCAAACAACGGGAGCCCATATGCACCATTAGCATTAGTTTATAATCAGGGTTTATTTTTTAACTCGTCTAGGTAGGTACTGTATACCCAAGAACCCTGTTTAAGCTCTGGACATTCACTTTCCGTCTTCTCAGTTTCGTAAACAATAGTAATGCCGCGAGAATGCTGTGGGTAGAACTGCTGATAGGGAGAGGGGGGCTCTGAAAATCCTCAGCCGTACCAGGGCATTTAGGGTATATATATATATACCAATATATTCATGTCAGGGATCATGTTAGGTTTAAAACTGGATCTGTGTGTTACCGTAGAGAGGAACATTGTGTACATCGATTTTAACAGATTAACAGCACAAATGCATTATAAATTATGTGTAATAAACAATCAAAACTGTAATCTCATCTAAAATACATTTCAAATTCTCTCATGACTTTTATTTCCTTTATTTTAAACAAAGAAGACATTTGTTTAAATAGAATCGTGTTTAATCAACTTACGAAAATTATCCATAACCATTCATTCATTTGTTTATTCATGACACAACAAACTACATCATTATTGACATCAACCGATATTCTGTTTGTTATGTCCCATATCCTGTTAAATATTGTGTTACGAAATTGCCATTGAGAGACTTTTATGACCTTGTGTTTGTGCTAAACCAACGATGTATCAACAAGCACTTCTCACCTAACCCATCCCGTTCAGTTCAGAATACAGATATCAGCCTTCGCTATATGAGTCCTATATTTCAGATATACATGGTTTATATACAAACAGACTAGACCCCATCACATTATGAAATAAAAAATTATTATTATACAAAATCAAGCCAAAAGTTACTGCGAGTGTGAGAGACTATAAAGAATGGATTAGGAATAAGTGAAGATTGGTAAATCGTATAACACTAGCTAATAAGTCAAATGAAGTTTTATGATAAAAAGAATACGAACATGTATATAATCTGATTGCTTGATATTTACCCTATAGGAATATATTTATTAATAATAATCCATAAATAATTTCTGGCAGTTACTATTCATTTATTCTTCGTTCTCTCGTTTGATTTCTGTCATATCGGTTAATATGTGTATATTGATACATATTTATGGTATCTATTTGACATTTTGATAGAATGTTCGTTCTACTTGTCTAATTGTATGCGACTCTAATGAACATCCTATAAATAAGACGTACGTATGTATAAAGTTTAAACAAATGAAAATCAGATGACACATATTGTGTTTATGTATTATCTGATGTCCCCTTTTCCTTTTTACATCATCAATGTTTTTTTTCAATTTTCATGGTATTATGTTTTTACGTTGAATGTATTTTGATAGTGAATTCCTTCAAAAGGTGGTGGTTGGTTGGATATTAACATAATTGTGTCATCTTAATTGTTTTCAACTTGTTAACAATAGGGTATATGGATCAAGATTCTATATAGGATTGAATTTGAGGATATTTAAATCTTCTGATGAATAAAATGTTCTTAAATAACAGGATTAAAGTTAGTTCATTGAGTCGTTGATTGTTGGATTAGATCATATTAATAGGTGTAGTCTGTCAGGTTAGAGTCGTCCACATATATATCGTAATGGTTAGAAACGATGTATAGTATAACTTAGAATCTTATTTTATTTTTGTATACTATTTAAACATATAAACATTCGTACAAAGAGGCGTTGAATATATAAGTGCCACACAAATCATTCGATTTGTGTGAATGTTGGAATATTGACCAGGTGCTCAAACCAAAGCAGGTGATTTTCCTAGGAGACCACTCCACGGACCTTTCACCTAGAGGTCTAATCCATAATGCAGTGAAACAACGTTAGGAGATGCAGTACCATGGTAACCAGTGACTAACTATGGGTTCATAGGTCAATTTTTCTCTCATGTTAACCATTGATTTGGAATGAGGGTTTTCCAACTCCACTAGGTGGATCCTCCATATCCACCAACCTGGTTAATGCGCCGAACTTTCGCTTTTCGTCCTCTGAATTTCGTAAACAACAGTAATGCTGTTTGTGATTGTATACAGGTGACAATGTGAGAGTGTTTCGAGAGAGAAAGCGAATTTTCCTGACCCTTGACCGTATCAAATCATTTGAGTGTTCTAGTTTGTCTTAATGCATTCACCATGTATTTTTGTAGGTCATGATTTCTAAAATTTCCTATTCTACGAATTCATTCTTTCTTCTCGAATAAAAATTGTTGGTCTCTAATCTTGTTTATTAACACTGATAATGTTACTGTTTCTACTTCTTTGGTATTCCTCTTGGTGTGTTTTATGGTGTCAGAACTTGAACTATTACATGTGTCAGATCGTTTGTTGCTCAAGATTGACTGAATGAACTGAAGCCCATCATTTCGTATTTCCAACTTTTGTATATTCAAAATATAGTTAACATTATCGATCAAAATGATTTACACCTAAACTGGAAAGAATCTTTATCAAATCTTATCATTGGTTGTCTAGGTAAAAATCAAAGTAATAATGATAATAATATTTTTTTAACATAGTAACGACTAACAAGTCATGTACACCATTGTAGTTCAAGTAACCGTCTTTTTTTACTTTGAGAGATAGTGGTACTACTATTACTTAAACTTCCAGACTGTGAAGTAATTGGATGTTTAGTTCTGCACTTTAATAACTATTCAATATCAATTTGTGTAATTACTTAATCAAATAATTTTGCCTATTAATTAATTTATTTATTTATGATATGTGTGACTGCATAAATATAAACTTTTCACTTGAAATTATAAGAAAGGATTGTTTTGATATTGGTTATTTAATCGATTCTTGATTGTGTTATCCTATGGTATCCGGTGATCAAGAATAACTTCATACTTCCTTTATTTCCCCAAAATTTCGGAGCTCATATGCACCATTAGTATTGGTTGGTAAACAGGATTTCTCAATCCACAAACCCTGTTTAAGCACCGTACATTCACTTTCCGTTTTCTCATTTTCGTAAATAACAGTGATGATACGAGAAAGCAGTAGGTAGAACTTCCTTGTGAGTGACTATATATACGTGGCCAAGATAAGAGGATTTCGATAAAGATATTTAACCCTATTCACCATCGATGTACCTGGGTAGTTTGATTATTCACACATTGAAGTAGTTGTGAATTTGTTGCAAATCTTCATTTGTTTAACTATTAAATAAATCATACAGTTTCAGATTAGGTGAATGCAGAGATTTAATTGAAATAATAATAATAACCATAAACAAGCTCATATTAATTACCTTCATCATTACATCAATTCTGTTTTATCATTTTCTATTTCAGGCTGAATTTCGTGCTTATAATGGTCATTCAAGTCATGTGACAAATGTAACATTTTTATATGATGGATCTAGATTAATATCTATTGGGGGCAAAGATACAGCTGTATTACAATGGGAAGTATGTATTTAACATATGATAAATACATATTCATCATTTATTTAATCATTTTATTATTATTCTTCTTCTTCTTCAATATTGTTCATAGTTATTATTCTCATTTTCTATTCATACTCTCATCATATCATCCATCTACAACTCAATGATACGTTTGAAGGCAATAAAAATAAAGAATCATTCTAATGTTGTCTGTACGCTTTTCTGATGCCTTCAAATTTAAATGTATTTGTCATAATCATTCATTATTCATAAAGTATGATCATGTATGTGTGCAATACATTTACAATTACAAAAGAATACCATTTAGCATAGTTAATTTATTGTTATAGTCTATAACCTCTCTTCTTATTAATATTATTACCATGTTTGTTTTGCTAATGTTACTATTTCTCTCCATCCCAACCCCCCTGAAAAACGCTTTTTTTTGGTTTTTTACATATTATTAACTTGTTTATTGATTGATTTATTTTTTTTTTAAAAAAACTACATCGTTTCCTCGTGTTTACTCACTTACCTACTTACTTACTTGTTTCTTCTCATACTTATGGATGATTTTTCTTCTTTGCTCATTTTCTCTTTTTTCTTTCTTTCTTATTTTGTCATCATTAGTGACATTTTAATCTTGCTAATTTTTGGGTTAAGTTATTGTCAATTTTGTGTTTACATGAAGCGAGTATTATTATTATTATTAAAATCCTTGTATTTATGAAGTCGATTATTTCTGTTTCCTTAATTTTTACACTAATGATATTTATGTTATTAAAATGGGGAAAAATCTTGGGGATCGTGTATACACACACATACGCACATACACACACATAAATACATTGTCAAAACTACATATTACACTCAATGTGTTGACTGTTATATTGACTTCTATCAATATCGACAACCTTCGATAAAAGAATTAAACAAGGAAAAAGGTATTTACCAATGTTTTTTTTTCACAGGTCTTATTTTGTTTCTTGTCTTTAAAATCGAAAACATTTAATGTTTACTATCTACATTCCACTTTATTTCCTTCTATTACCTTATACAGGCATATAGAGATTTGATTTTAAATGCATTCATTGTTTGTATTTTTAATAATAATAATGATGATGATAATGAGGTGGAGGAGGAGAAGGAGATTTTTCTTTCTGTGGCTTTTTGTTCGTTTTCTTCATAAGTTCTAATCTTTCCTCTCTATCGATATTGTGTGTAAATGGGTGAATTGTTATAAATGAATGGAGTATGGTTTTCAGTTCTGTTCCTTCTTCTTCTTCTCCTCTTTGTGGTCATTGGTTTATATACAGAAAGATGTTTTAAAATAATTCATTATTCTAGTAATATTACATATATATATTGTATTCATAAATTATGGCTAAGAAAATGTCATAGATAGTTTTCTTTGGTGCCTGTGTATGTACTACTTAATTTGACTACTATTTATCGACACTATATATATATAGACAGATAGATAGATAGATTTCTTGACTTTAATTAATGTTTCCTTCTATAGTTTATTTATATCATTGTTTGTTCTTGACATTGTCAACTACATGTCTTCTTCATACTATACATAAATAGATAGACAGATAAATAGATCAGGTTTATGTGGATCAATTTCAATTATGTTTTCCTCTTTTGATGTTCATTGTTCTTTCTTTGATTATAACATTGAATTTTGAATTTGTGCATAAATTGTTTAAAATAGTGCTCATTTGATCTTTTAAAAATGAAATAAATTATTTTTCTCTTCGATAGTATAACTTATTTATTCTCTTAATGGTTATTACTTGTAGTTAAGTTTGTTTATCTGTAAAGTTTAAAACTGTCTATTCAATATTGATTATAGTTGGAAATATGAACCTTTGGATATTAAGATAATGATCTAGAATTGTAACTTACTCCTTTAAAGACTTGAAGATCCTAGGTTCTTCATATTTAGGAGGATCCAGAGTACACTGTATTAATGAGGGCTGAACGTAAATCATTTTCAAAAGACTATATGATATGAAATTTCACAAAACCAGCCCTCCCTCTCAAAATTCTCTCACATGGCCACATGCATATAACCACTTCCAGGGAAGTCCTGCTCACTGTCCTATCGCGGCGGAGGTGTTGTTTACGAAACTGAGAGGACGGAAAGCGAATGTCCGGAGCTTTAACCGGGTTGGTGGACACAGAGAGTCCACCTGGAAGAGTTAGAAAACCCTGATTTTAAACCAATGATGGACATGAGTTCTAGGATGTTAAAGGAACAAATGCCGCATGAACCTATTGTTGGTCACCGGCTACAATGGGACTGCATCTCCTTACGTTGCGCCACTGCCTTGTGGATCAGACCTTTAGGTCGAAGGCTCCGGTTGTGGTCCTCTAAGAAAACCACCTGCTTCGGTTCGGGCACCCGTAGAGTATCCCATCCCTCACATATATCGAATGATTTATGTGGCGTATATCTATTTGGTGCCTCCTTGTACAAATGTTTGTGCTTAAATAAATAAATTATGTTATAGGATATCGCTTACTGATACTGTAAAGCAGAATTTATACTGGTTTAATAAATGGATAGTCTATCGAAAATTTGGAATAAAATTATACTGTAGAGCTTCTGGATACTACATGTGCGACAACAGTGATTGTGCAATGGATCTAGAAGTGTGACGTCTACAATACTTTTGCATATCTTTCTTCAACCAATACGCAATCTACTAGTAGTATATGAAGTATCCAAAGGTTCTATGATATGCTCTTATTCTATCTCTTGAATAGACAAATAAGATTCATTCAATCACTGTAAATTCTAATGCACAGTTTCTGTAAATGATATCAATAATGAAAATTTATTCTATTAGTTGAATTCATGAGTCAATATAAACTAGATCACCATTGAAAACCTGGAAGCACTGAATGATTGTTTCGTTCTAGTATGAGACTTATCAGTTCGCATCCACGGTCTCGCATATGGAACTCGAACCCATGACCTTCGATCTAGCTTACATTAACTCATGAATTCATCAATTAAAATCACTACAATTTCCACAAACCACCATTCACCAAATTGTTTTGTTAAGTTCTTTCTCAAATTGTTCCCATGTATTCACTTCACTAAATATTTGTAGTTTCTTTTCTGTATTATGTAATAAGTCAAGCTATATTATTATATCATTAAAAGAAATAAGTCAATCCCATTAGTAAAATGGAACATTTGCTATTAAGGCTTATCTACAGTTTAATAATTCTTAATGCATGTAGAAAAATTAATGAAGTCACGATATTAGTTAATTAAATATGAAAGGAAACTTTTTTACGTCTGGCTCTGTAGTGAACAAGAATGGAAACAACCGAATTTATCTGAACACGAAATTACAGAATATCTCACTAAAATCTGAAAACCATACAGTAAACACTTTATTTGTAAAATATCTATCCATTGTCTCAAACTTGACTGTTTCTTTTGCAAATATCAGTCCATCGTCTGAGATTTCTTTGTTCATCTATTTTCATACCAATTGCTTTTCGTTCATGCTCTTTTCTTTCTCGATCTTCTATTGAAATTCAATCTATTCCTGACTATCGTTATATACTACTTATGTGGATATAAGTAGCTCACAGCACAGCTCTATTTTAGCTCTTCAATTTTTACACTTCTTATGAATCTCAATACTAAAACTAAAGATCTATTAATTGTCAAAATAACTTAAAATGATTTACTTTATCTGTAGTTAACATTAACAAATTGGAGTTAATTAGATAAGTATTGTAAACCAGGATGTACTGAATAGCTGTTTCAGTTTAATTTGGAACTTCTTTTAACATGGATACATAGAATTCTAGAAAGAATTTATGACTAATAGAATTCAACCTTCGTTGTCGCGTGTCGAAAGTTAACCTTCTAGACCCCTAAGTTAGTATCCAACGTTGTTAACCTCAGTCATTCCGTTATATTGCTCACTCTTCATCCATTGATTGTAGTGGATAACAGTCTCAAATCTACTGGTCACGGCTTCTCACTATAGTTTCACGAGTTGCATTTTGAAGCTAATGAGCAGATGATAATTATATGTATAGGGTTATAGAAAATTCAAATGTATCGGAATTGAGACAAGTGTCACTCCTTGAACTAAATAATTACTCTGCTAAGCAGTTTTATACTCGGCCAAAGCACCTGTATGTTGCTTCCAGGTTTCACAATGAATTTACTGTGTAATTTTTATTACGTTAAATCATTTCTCTGCTATTTGTCATCATATCATTGTAATGCTTGAGCTCCCTACTATTTGAACCATTAATAAGTTTGGAAACTTGTATTTGATACCTAACTTTACAATATTAGTCACCTAAACAACAGTAAATTTATTGGCAGTTTTGTTATTTAACTTTGTCGTACTACTTTAAAAAAAAAATCAAGTGGACAGTTTTCTCGATGTTTCTTTGTACTTACCTGGAAATTTAAGTTTAGTAATCAATATCACTCCCACCTTATCAGTACTGATTAAAATCCATTTTTCAGAAATCTAATTGGATTACACCTTCTTTGTTAAATACGTGTAATGCTGTGAACGTTAGTTCCTTGACTCATGTATTACTCATTAGTAGGTATCTATTTAAACATGGTCAACTACAGAACTGTTCTACAATCCATGATACAACCATATTCCAATTGTAAGCTTCAATTATCATTCAGCGGCTAGACTATAATTGATGAATGATCCAATCAGATATAAGATAATAGGTCATTGATTTTGGAACGAACTTCATTCATCCATTTGACTAGATAGCTTCTTGGCATTTTAATCGATGTCAAATCGTGATGAAAACTCTAGATGTAGTTCTTAACCCTAACCATCAACTGTAAATCATAATTCTAATTCTTCACACTACTTTATAACCATCATTTAGTCCTAGTCAACAGGTGTACATTCTCATGGTCACTTTAACGTCGCCCAATGCTCGTCCATAAATTATAATCTACTAGATGTCTCATTATCAATCAATTAATTCTCTCTACCTATATGAATATTTGACTTTTTCTATTTTTGTTGTTATTTATGTTAAGAACAGGTATGTAAATATAAAAATTCAATATTTTCTCATCAAATCTGAAATCATGTTAATTTCTTGTTTGTCCTCTCTTATAGACATTTTTTCTCTCTCATTCGATCATTTTAAACTAAGCAACATTTTATTAACACTTTAATTGTACATTTATGTTACCTGGGTAATTGATTATTGATTATGGTGATTAATTTTAAGGATATGTATGTATCAGAAATAGGTTTTTGTGAATATTATAGTAATTTAATAGTTCAATTCATGAGTCAATTGAAGCTAGACCACCATGGAAAACCTGGAAATTTTGGATGGCCGTTTCATTCAAGTATGGGACTCCTTGGTAGTGCGCATTCACGGCCCCGCCTTGCGAGATTCGAACGCTTAACCTCTAGACCACTGAGCCGGCATCCAACAGTGTTAATGTCTAACTTCACTAATCCATAAAATTGAACCACTGTCCACCATTGTCTTCAGCGAGTTACTATCTCAAAACAGACCCGATTGGACTCGACTGACCACTGTTTCTCACTAGAACTCCAAGATATATATATATATATATATATATATATATATATATATATATATATTTTTTTTTTGATGTAACTCACCAAGTACAGATTTGTTTACTCAACTTTAAGATTCACTTATGTTTTACAGCTAGTGAGTGGTAATACTATCCAGTTGCTCAAATTGTTATAAATGCAGTGAGATTCAAATCCGTGACGTGATAGTTAAATCCCGAACAACTTAACCGCTAAGTTCTTGCTTGAAATATTAACTTTAGTCATCAAGCTGTACCACTATTGTAATTTTCAGACTATATGAATATTTCAACGATAGTATGATTTTTAACTTTTAGGTTGTATGTGTGATACATTTGTCATGCTGATCATTAGTGTCAGTCAGTCAGCTACAACGTAGGACCAAGCACATATGTACATCAGTTCAGGTTGCCATACCTCATTAGCACAGCAAGATGAACACCGGATTCATAACAGTGGTTAGGTAAAAGGTGGTAATATATAGAAGAAAGATTGCATATAAGGATATAGTATAGAAAGAAAGAATTAGTTGGTAGAAAGAACGATATGAAGTAATTTTAAGCTCTTAGTTTAAGGGAAGATAGAGAGTGTATACACCGACGCCATTGTGATGGATTCTGAGCCATGTCACCAAGAGTCTCCAACCACTGGTTACGATAGTCACGCGGACCTCAACCAAGTAGTCTGCATCTACCAACATGGCTCAGACTAGAAGTTAGTGACTTCAAGCACTGATGCCACGTTTTGGTTTGGCCGCAACTTACTTTCTTCCAACCATCCCCTACAATAGTCAGCATTGTTCATCGTGATAATCGGTGTTCAGACATACGCGACACGTGGCCCAACCATTTCACTCGATGAAGATTCACAACCTCATCAACTGATTTACCATCATTCCCTAATACCCTGAGTCTAACCTTATTATTAGCTGTCTGGTGATCCCAGTAGATGCCAGCAATATTTCTAAGGCATCTGTGGTCAAATACTAGTAGCTTACGAGGGTCGTCTGCTCTTAAAGGCCATGTTTCGCTGCCGTAAATTAAAACAGAACGAACTGCCGCGCAGTATACTCGTCCTTTTATTGATAGACGGATATCTCGCCTTCGCCATAGGTGACGTAAGTTGGTAAAAGCCAAACGAGCTTTTCGAATCCGTGCTGAGATTTCGTC